AAGGAAGGAAGGAAGGAAGGAAGGAAGGAAGGAAGGAAGGACAAACGAAAGAAAGAAAAGCAAAGAAGGAGAAAGATAGCTATGGATGATATATTTTCAGATGTCCAGATGTGCTCTCGCGGCAACGTGCCCAGGACACACATCTTCACCCTGGCCCTGGGCACCTCCTACGACACCGCCCTTGGCACAGCTGGCATGTGCCCCTGCGGTGTGGAGACCCAAAGTGTCCAGCGGCCCGGCGAAGCGGGCGGGAGGGCCCATTGCCCCCGGCGGCCGAAAGTGGGACGCGCGTGGCCACAGGCAACCAATTTATGGAATGGGTTGCTTATCAACACCCCAACACCTCCCTTGAGGCCGCTGTGGAGTGGGGATTGCTGACTGGGCTGATCCAGCCGTGCTAAGCTGTATGAATGTTCCATGACACCTGCCTCATCCACCACCAGGTTGCTAATGAACCCTCTCCCAAAAAATGGGGAGCCCTGTAGGGTTTGGGGAAAGCTTTGGGGAAGCTTTGGCGTTCAGTTCCCCAGTCGGAACGCTTTGGGGAACCCCCTCCTGGCTTGCGCCACCAGGTGTGGGGGTGATCCGGTCCCAGCCTTCCTCTCGGGGGAGGACAGACGGACAGGGGTTTCTGAGAGCCGGTGCCCACATGCAGTCCCCCTGATTAAGACCTGCTAGTGGTGGGTGGGTCCAAGATCCCGTCATCCGCCAGTGACTCCATGCTAAAACCGGCAATCTTGGCCCCTCATGTAAACTGCTTGAAGCAAACTTCATGCATTTTCCGGCTAGGGTTTCCAGCCAACCTCTGATTTGATTACTCAAAAGTGGGCTGAAGAAGAAAGATGGTTCTCTTAAGCTCGAAAGCATCCCAGGCGGGGAAAAAACATTACCCCGCAATTGTCAACTTCTTTGCTAGAGAAGGGATATCAGCGACAGGAAGAACCTGAGAATGGAATCCTCCTACCTCTCGTGGATGGTTTTGAAAACGAACACTTTTGACAGTCACACTCTGCGTTGTTAGCTCGCAGGCGTGAAGGAACGATCCCTGGACGCAATAGTGTAACTTTTGCAAGCGGCACTTCGTTGAACTGGCGGCTTTGTTGCATCCACACACGAGAATATCCAACTGAGTTGTCAAATCAGTAACTTGTTTTTCTTGTTTTTCTTCCGTTTTTTTGGGGTGTGTCAGAAATGCAGAAATTTGGTGTCCTCCAATAATGACATGCCCTGATACTTCATCACATGAATCAATAAATCAGTTCACGAATGAACGAATGATCCGTTGACAAATTAATGAATGAATTCATGAACTAATGCATGAACGTGTCAAATACATAAGCAAATGCAAAGGCAACCAATTCGCAAACAAAGCCACAAAATAGAAAATCGATGAACGACTCGACCAACAACTGATTGTGTAGATATGTATATGTATATATATATATATTTACAGTATATATATATATATATTTACACTATATATATACACTTACACACACATATATATATATATTATACATTATAAACAGAAGATAAGTAAATGAATAAGCAAACAAATCCATAAATGAATAACCAAAAGAATATATCAGTAAATCAGTCTACAAGCTTTGTGTGCGTGGAGGTCAGACGGTCCCTGGCCGCACGTTTCTCCGGATGTTTTTGAGGAGCACCTCTGCGACAGCGGCACGGTGGGCTCGGCGAGCCTCGCCTGGGGCGCGCGCCTGGTGAGCGCCGGCTTCGGCCCGACAGCGCTGGGTGCCACGACGCAGACGCTGGAGGCGTGGGGCGGGTTGGGGGGGGATGGGGAGGTGAGAGGTGGGGAGGGGAGGGAGGAGAGGTGGGGGGGAGGTGCGGGGGAGGAGGGGGGGAGGAGGGGTTGGGGGGGAGGAGAGGTGGGGTGGGGACGTGGGTGGAGAGGTGGGGGGGTCGGGGGGTGGGGAGGTGGGGATGGGAGGAGGTGAGTTGGCTCGGCGAGTGGCGCTGACACAGATGTTCGTGTTACAGATGTTGGGTTGCACGCGCATACTGGTATGAGTGCAGCCGTGAGACAGCGCTGACGTGTTGAAATGCCCAGGCGCAGAGACCAAGAGAGTTGGGACGCATACCTGTATGGGCGTACATCAAAACCTTTTGTTTTTTTTTTGTTTTTTTGAATTGATGAAACGTGGCCAGAACAAGGGGAGCTATCGCTATCTGATGTTAGAAGAATAGCTTTGCTGGGGCCTTTCTTAACTTTCTTCTTTCTGTGAAGGTTCGCATGTCTAAAGGGAGCGAAGTGTCGAGGCGGTCAGCTTGTGAGGTGAGGTGGGTTGGTGAGGGCCTCGGGACTTTTGCTGAGTTGGGCGGTGGCGGACGGTGCTTTCAGTCTGCAGTTAGGACCTTGAAGAGTGGCAGGATACGATTATTGAATGGTACAGAGAAGATTTCGCACAGTTCGTCCGTTTTTTGTTTTATTGTTTTTCTTTCTTGCGTGTGTGTGTGCGCACTGCGTCCGAGGCGCTGGCCGGGCGGGGTTTAATCTGCGCCGAGCAATACCTCTGGCATGCTTTCACCAAGTTGGGTATTTGTGTGTGTGTGTGTGTGTGTGTGTCTGTGTGTCTGTGTGTCTGTGTGTCTGTGTGTCTGTGTGTCTGTGTGTCTGTGTGTCTGTGTGTCTGTGTGTCTGTGTGTCTGTGTGTCTGTGTGTCTGTGTGTCTGTGTGTCTGTGTGTTTGTGTGTCTGTGTGTGTGTGTGTGTCTGTGTGTGTCTGTGTGTGTGTGTCTGTGTGTCTGTGTGTCTGTGTGTCTGTGTGTCTGTGTGTCTGTGTGTCTGTGTGTCTGTGTGTCTGCGTGTGTGTGCGGGCGCATGTGTATGCATTTTCAACGGAAGGGCACCAGTGGTTGGCGCGATCCCGGCTGGCAGGTGCGACTCATGTGCGACAGCGCTCGGCTGCCCAGCGCGTGATAGGTCAACGTTGCTGACTCGGCCTTGTGTGCGCTGGTGCTGGTGCTCAGCTGGGATGGGGGAATGACCCCAATAAACCATCCCTTGTAGTGTAGGTTCCTTTAGGGGGATCCCTTGGTTCGTTCCCTCATTCCCTGAGCACCGGCAAGGTATGTTGAGTTCTGAATTCTGGAATATCATCCAATCCTGAATCTGGTGTTTGATCACTCGACGGGATGTTGGCAACTGCGCAAGTACTTCCGTCGGGAGAGGCTGAGAGCTTTTTCTGACGTTGCCAGCATGCATTCGCCAGTACCCGGCAAGCACAAGGGGTTCGCGTGCCCCGGGATTTCCTGGGAATAAGGCCAGATACTCGTGGCGGGCCTAGCGAATCAGAAGTAAAAGCCAAAACCAATACCAATGGGTCCAAAGAAGGCCTCAATGGGGCCAATGCTTTGTGGGGGCTTTGTTGCTTTGAGTGGTCGTGGCAAGGGAGTTACTGCAGCAATCCGTTTCTGCCGAAAGGCAACTCGCAGCCGCACTTGATCAGAGTGGGTCGCATGAAGAGACGCGCCGTACATGTTCGTTAAAAACCCAGCTCCCCCTCCATGAGTAGAATGAAGAACTGGCAGGACTTTCATGGATCGCGACTGAGCGAGCCAGCTTGGGGAGGTTTCCACGAGCCGAGCCTGAAGTTTTGAGGCACTTCAACGCCTCAGGATTTCTTTGGCCACGTTCTCAAAGGTTTTGACCTCTCTTTTTCGCATCCGTTGGCGATATGCTCTCATCTTCCGGGTCTTGTCTTACCAAATGTAGTCGTAGAACAAAATGTAAATCCAAAACATAAAAAACTCAAAATAAGAAAAGAAGAAAACAAGAACGTTAAGACTGTAGTATAACTCCCCAATTTACATTTCACATATTAAAAGAAATGTAAATATGTACAAAACACACACATATATATATATATATATATATATATATTACAGAACACATGTTTTCTTTTGCAGTGTATCAGCAAAATCGACCCTGATGTGAAACGGATGCGCCAAGATGCTGGACTTCTCGGCCCTATGGGCCGAGCGGGTTTTCCTGGCGTGCGCCTTTGGCTTAGGTCAGCTCCAACGAGGATGTGGGGGTCCTGCAGCTCTCCGTGTCGGTCAATGAGCTCGAGGCCCATGGGCTCGGCAAACTTCAACAGCCGGCCGTCTTTTGCGGGGGGTTTGGGCTGGACCAAAGCCTTTGCTTTTTTCCGGAAGTGGGTGGCACCATTGGTTTTTGCATGGTTTTCGGTGGTTGTGGTGGGGGGGGGGGGGGGGGTTGGGGGGGGTTGGGGGGGAGAAATTCAGGCATGGCTGTTCTATGCACGCCGTGTCTGACATGCGTGTCGTACCTGGGTTTCGGATAGGATAGTCCCATGCTGCAAGCCAAAGGTGCGCTTGCTCAAATGGCTTTCAGATTTGAATGATTCGGACAAACAATTCCTCACCCTGTGAACCGGCGCGAACGTGATACATTCTCCCATGCATTCTACCTTTTTGCAAGTTGTGCCTTTCACAGCCAAGCATGAAGAGCGCACGCCAAACTAGCGGTAAACTCTGTGAACTCACAAGCGGTGTCGCTTTCGCACCTGCAGCCCATGCCATTTGGGAGAGGGGGTGGGCCGTCAGGCAACTCACAACTTGGCATGGCTTCTTGATTTGATTCCTGTCAGGATACGACGCCTCCAGTGATCAGCTTGCTGGGCGCATCTCCTCTGAAGGCAGGGTGGTCCGTGGTGCTTCTGGTGAGCGAGGGATCCTTGCGGTGCTTTGCTGGGCTGTTCACAGGTAATTGATCCTTGGGTTGTCAGGAAGGTTGCCGTTTTGCTAATTGGGAAGGAACATTGGCAGACCTTGCTGTCACTCCGGCCACTGGAACTGCTGCGGCTCGCTTCTGTTTCCTTGCTTGTGTTGAAATGCAGTGACTCCTGTTATCAAGGCCATCTGTCGACACTCTCCAGAGAAGTGCTATGAGAGCCCACACAAGTAGCACGTTGTCGTGGGGTACCAAAAGCCAATGTGAGACAGAACCACAGGAAAAGCACTGTTGCTCGGTACCCTCCCACCAACTAACATGGAAGTGCAAAAAGGCCCTTTCCAAGAGGAAAGTAGTCTTTCTACAGGGGTCTGTACACTTCCATGTTAGCTGGTGGGCACTTCTTCAGCCGCTACTCCAAGGTGTGCTGAAAATCCGAGTTTTTCCAGGTGGAGGTGGACGCTATTTTCCAGGACCCGGGGGCCTCGTGCGTGGACGACCTGGACGGCCCATTGACCACCAACATCACGGTGCTGGGCTGGGTGAACACCAGCGAGTTGGGCACGACCGAGCTGGTCTACTCCTGCGAGGAGCGGTTTTTTAGACATTTCCCTCTTGGGGGTATAGCCATCCACGTGTTTCAAAGAGGGCACTAAGGAAGTACCACGAGTTCTGCGGGTATGGCAGGTTCCTCGTTTTTTTGGAGGTTTCACAGTTGTTTCACGCTTCTCATGCATGTCTTGCAATTTCTAGGATGTCTGCACATTTCTCGTGTCCTTTTCCATTTTTTTGTTTTGAGGTTGGAGAGATTTTGGCGCGGAGTTTGGGTTTTGAATTTCCACTTTGCTTTCTACTTTGCTTGTTGAGGTTTTGGGGAAGCATCGCTAAGAAGAAGGTTGGTTCTCCAATTGAATGCTCGAGAAAAAGAGTTGCAACCTCACATAAGGTGCATGTAACCATCGTAATGAGAGGTGTACGTACTTTAGTTTTGCCCATATGTACTCTCTTGTTTTCGGGTTCCCTCCTTTTGCCAGAGTGGCCTTAGCTCTGTGAAGGACAAACAACAGCCACTCAGCCTGCACGCACCATCCGCTCGCATGCGAGCGGATGGGCTTGTCTTGCTCACTGCCCTTAAAGCTTGGGAAGCGAAAAGAAAACCATTTGGGTCTGGGTCAAAGTTCAACTGGCGCAGGTTTTAGTCCTTTGTCCCATTTGCCAGGACAGAAAATGTTGGGTACCTATTTTGGACCCACAGCCATGTTCAGGAAGCGGTTGAGAGGACCCGTTGCGGCCGGAGTTTTCACCGGCTTCGGCAGGACAGCCGGGAGAACGCTGCCAACGTGTCGCGCCTGGTGGTGGTGGTGGACCTGGGTCCCATTCCCATTTGCAGGGCATGTGGGTTGGGTCTCCATTTGTTGGAATAGGTTTCCGTGTTTTGGGGCTTCTTTTTATTTTTTTGCTTGGGTCATTTTGAGGATGTCACATGTGGTCTGTCTCAAAATTCAGGCCCTTTGTGGATGGCTTCAAGGGAAGCCTGGGCGTGCCTTTTTTTGAGGGCCGGGGTTGCATTCTGACGGGAAACCAAAAGGAAACCACTCACACAATAGGGCGATGCCCTATTTTGTTAGAAACCCACATTTCTCCAAAAGGGGGTCCCCTAAAATGGTTTGTTTCCTGTTGGCGCCTCCCAAAATCTTCGAAAGTTTGGGGATCCATGTTGAGAATCTCAATGGTGGGTTTCCGGTTGGAAACCCCTCGAAATACCAAACTGGGGATCTATTTTGATAAACTCCAGGGTTGGTTTCCTGCTGGAAACCCCTCTACCACCCAACAAAAAAATCCACAATTTTTGAGAAGCTTTCGGGGTCCTGGAGGACTCCGGGTCACCCACTGTGGAGCTGCTGGGTGAGCCGCGGCTGTGCCTTGTGGAGGGCGAGGCCTACATGGAGCTGGGGGCGCGGTGCCTGGATGCGGCAGACGGGGCCTTCATGGCGGAGATCCGAGGTGCTTTTTTTTTTTTTTTTTTTTTTTTTTTTGGTTTGGCGAAGCCAAAAAGGAAGCCTTTTTTTGTCTCCCCCCCCCCTTTTTTTTTGGGGGGGGGGGGTTTGCTTGGCTCAAAGGGAAGCCAATAAGGAAGCCGCGTTTGGTTTGGTTATTTCTGGATTTGCCGGAGGAAGTAGCGGCCAACAAAAGAATCGAAGCCACAGTAAGAGGGAGGACTTTCAGGTGGAGGGCAAAAACCTTCTTACATGTGTTTGCCCTTGAAAACGAGAGGGAAGAGGGTCTCCTTTTTCAGGGCAAATAGCCTCTGCCTGAAAGGCAAGCATGTCACCAGTCATCTAGAAGGGGCCCTGGTAAGGAAATTGGGGTACGCGCGCCCAAAGGCGTGGTGCGACAAAAACGGGGGGGGGGGACAACCTCGCCCAACACCCACGCCTCTCGAAAAAGCTGCATCTTTCCTTCTGTCAGATGAGGAGTGAACGTCAGCAAGGTGCCCGCAGGTTTAATTAAGCTGGCATCAGTGGCACGGCAATTTCTATGATAGCGTGTTGAGGGTGCGGGGGCCTTCCCTCCTTGGCACTATGAGGGGTGAGATTTGGGAAGCTATTCTGTCGAAGCAATGATTGCTCCAGCCTGAACCTAGGCTTGCTGGTGCTGAGGGAATGATCCCTATAGAGGCATCCGATGGCGGTTTCCAGCGCGGTTTGTGGCCAGAGCCGGCAAAGTCATTTGGGTGTCTTTTTTGTTGAGGGTACGCTTTTCACCTGAAAGGGCCCCCTAAGGACCTGAGGCAAGCAAAGGAAAATCAACTTAGGACCATAAGGCAACCTCATGTCGGTTTTGGATCCCTCTGTTTTGCCACATGCCCATTTTTTTGGCGCCGGGCACGTGGCTTTGTGCCTTGGCAAGGCCTCGTGGACTCCAATGTGCTGGGAGACCAGTACGTGAGCTACGTTTGCGTGGACAGCGTGTCTTCACTCTGGATTTGGTTTTTGGTTTTTGGCTTCTGGTTTTCCTTCTTGGTTTTTGGGTTTTAGCGTTTGCTTGTTTTGTCTTGTCTTGTCCTGTCTTGGTTTGTTTGTTTGTTTATGTGTGCGTGCGGATCCAGCAGCACGCGGCCAAGGTAGGCAACAACGCTACGACAGCCCGGCGTGTGACGGTGGTCTCCGGGGAAGCCCCTGGAGATCTGTTCCTCACCAGCTTCGGCGTGGAGGCGGTGGGGAAATGTTTGGCTTTGCAGGATCCCGCAGAAATGGTTACCAGCTGGCACATCTGTTACATCCCATTTCGGGTCATCTTTGGATCTATCCCTTCAGGACGTTGCTTTAGGTTGAGTAACGCAAATCCCGAACCTTGACGTCCGGGGTTTGAAGATGGTTGCGGAACGTATGGTTTGAAGTCCACTTCCTGAAAGTGAATCAGTATGGGGGACCGGGCATTCAGAACTGATACCATTGGCCCCCCACCTTTGAGTGGGGATTCTCTGGACCCTTGTAAGGACCTGTCCTAAGGAGGTTCTAAGAAACCTTGGCTTGCTGCCAGGTGCGGGGCGCGCTGAGCTTCTTTGCGCCCCAAGTGCCCGCCACGGATGTCGATCCGAAGAGCGAGATCGTACTCACGTGGTCCGAGCCGGTGACAGCTGGCACAGAGGTGGGACGATGGGGTGGTCCTGAATGGCTCGTTACGGATTTGGCTCCTTATGGAGGTCGGTCTCGCTCTTGAGTTTTTTTTTTGTTTTTTTTTTTTTTGGGGGGGGGAACGTGCAGAGCACCACGAAGCAACTCCCGGAATCCTTACCAGATCCCCAAAAGAACAACGAAACTCTCACAAAACCCCGGGAATCCCAAGCCACCCCAGTTCCAGCTGGAGCTTCCCCCCTGAGAACCATGGGTGCGTGGGGGGAGGCCTGCCGCTTCATCTCCTTCTTCAAGGAGGGGGAGCTGGTGGCCCAGCACGAGGCCCTAGATCTGTTCGCCAACGGCGCCCTCTCCGCGCAGCAGTTGGTCTTGGGCAGCCAGGCCTTGGAGGAGGGGCAAATGGGGCAAGCTTGCCGTCCTCTCTGTTCTCCATTGTCCCATGGTTGTCAGGGCCGGCCCTTGACTATTGGGGACGCTTGAACGTGCTATATTTAGCACCCAGCGCATTTGGTGCGGGAATGTGTCTCACGCCACCACTACTTGTTCAATTTTCCCATGACCGCTTCCCAGCACCAGCGCCTTCAAAGCGGCAGCCGGCATGAGGATACTCTTAAAGTTGTTTAAAGATGGTAGTACTGGCAGTAGGAGCTGGCTGGTGTAAAGCAATTGCAGTGCTAGGGTCCGTAACTTGTAACACATGATGCTTCCTTTTTCTTCGCGCATTGGTGAAATCTCAAAATGGAGAGCTGGCCAATCCGAATCCGCACGTATTGGGGAACCACAAGCCGCTTCGCGCCGTTTGTGCATATGGCATCCGCTCCGAGCAAGTTTGACTGTTGTCCTAGCCAGCCCTTACGGCACTAAGATGCGACGGCGTGGGTTTCGTTGCCTTTCCGGACAAAGGGGTGGCAACGCCTTCCATGGCCTGCGCACAGGAGAGCACCAGCTATGTGGTCCAGGTGGCACCTTGGCCCAGCGTGGGGCGTAAATCGGGGGGTAATGATCCGAACGTGCCGGCAAAAGCCGGAAGAGTATGGTTTCGTTTCGCGGATAGTGTTTGAAGGTAGGTTGGGCCAGGAAACCGCAGGTCTTTGGGCATGCATTTCTGTTGATTCTGATGTGTGGCAAGGCAGCAAATGCCTGATTGCCCGCTTCCAAAAGATGCCGACGCCGCGTAGACATGTGTGATTGGCAGACAGGTGCTTGTAAATAAAAGGGTCGCATGCACCCACTTTCTTGAACACGGGTGTAACGCAGCCTTTCTGTTTTGCTCATTTTGGGAGGGACATGCCGGGACCACTCCTGTCCATTGCAGGAACTGCTTTGCTTGGTTGATAGAAAAATGCTCAACTTGAAACAAGTTCAGGCCCTCAATTCATCCAAGGGGCCGGCCAGTCCAGGCAAATTGTCCCCAGGCGGGAGCTCGTTGAATCCTTGTTTCCCCAGCCTCCAGCCTCCTTCAATTGACATGGAACTTGACAGGGGGGGTCCTGGAAGACCATTTTCCTTTTAAAGGCTGTCAGGTTCCATTATGCTACTAGGTCCCCCAGTAGTACCCTTTTACTCTTTTTTGGGTGAGGGTTCCCCTACTAGACTACAGAAAAGTTGGTAGTTCTATTCTAACCTCTCTACTCAAGGACCTAGGTTAAGTGGGAGGGTATCTTCTTTTGTGCCAGGACGAGCACTTGGTGCTGACGGCCGGGCTCAACGGCAGCCAGCGCCAGCAGCTGCAGATCCGCACGGGGGACTACCAGGGCCCCCGCCTGCGCAGCGGCCCCAGCGGCAGTGCCTGGCCCTTCGGCGACCTCAGGCGTCGCAGGGGCCGAAGTCGGGGGTTTTCAAGCCGTGAGGTCCTCAGAACATGGGCGGATGCCCGGGTGAAACCCTGGGCGAATGGAAGGAATGGGTGAAATTATGGGCAAATGGCAGAGGCCCATGAAAGACGAAAGTGAGGCATCAACTTTTAGAAGCTTGAACGATTTTGGGATGAGATTTGCACGTCCCTTCAACTATCTGCCAGAGTTGGCCAACCCCAGCTCCAAGGTCTTTTCCCCCGCTCATTCCCGGGAAAAGGCCGAAAACTGATTGCATGGACCCATCTTTGTGAAGCCATGGCCATTTGGGGTCTCTTAGTGGCCCTAGATCGATCAAACACCAGGGGTCCACACCGGGTTCACACATCTAGGTTCATGCATTCAGCCATATGGGGGCCTGCGACTCAAGACAACTCCTGGCACCGCAATCCCTCGCGGCTTCTTACCTGGGTGGGGATGTGCGTGGGCTGCCCGTGTCTTGTTTGTGTGTTCCTTTAATGCAGTGAGACTGTGGAAAGACATGTCTTTGTGCATCTTTCAGGTTTCAGTTGGGCTTGTTTCTGTCCGACGAAAACACATATCGAAAGCACATATCTTGCCCGGTTTCAAATGACATTCACGGCCCCTATTTTTGTTTTCATGCTTAGGATTGTGCAGCCGACGTCGGGCCCCTTTGCTTCTGCCCATGAAAGTTAGTATTCATCATTTTTAAAAGCGCGGCTCATGACGTCAATGCAAATTTCGATGTTGCAGGCCACTGAGTTCTCGTGAGCATTGGTAGGACCACACAATAGAAATGTTAAGCATCACGTCGCAGGGAAGCGCCACATTTTGATGTGACCAATTGTTAAGCAAGCATCATGGTGCAGGGAAGCGCCAAGCAGATCCCGTGGAAGCCAAGGGGGTTCATCAGCTAATGTGGTCCAGCATAATTACGCCGATTTTATCCGGAAGCAACGCCAAACACAGATGCAATACACCCACATGTGTTTCAAACAAAGCCTTCTGGGCTTTTTTAAAGCCCAATGCAGCTTGTGTTTTTTGACCGCCTTGGGCGGTATTTTTAGTGGGCTGGCCGGCTTGCAGGGAGTGCCATTTCGCGCCCTCCGGTGCAGCCTCGGCCAGCCCCTGTGTACGAATTCAGCGAGGAATGTCTGGCGGATTGTGACTTGGGCTCTTTTGCTGGGTCACCTCCTGACGCTTTGGGGCTGGAGCGGCAGGAATGAAGTTGAATGAAAACTGGTGTTCCAGGATTACTCTGTGATTGGGCGGGCTTCTGTCAGGCACGTAGGACCCCCCTTCCGCGCTTTGGTTTCCTTTCTTTGTGCGCCAGGCTGGGGTTCGATGAAGACGTCCGCCTCGGCTCTGGCTCCTTGCTGGTGTGGGAGCGGGTGGCCGGAGTGGAGGACTGGCTGTCGTGCCTGCGTGTACTCCACTTGAGCATCATTTCAGCCATCCATGCACTAAAGGATTTCTACTCAACGCAACGTGCCTTCAATCAACCCCAGTTTATGAATAGGGGGGTGTCCCTGGGTTTAGTGGGGAATCATCAACTTTGGAGAAAAACACCACCCTATTAGTATGGGGTCAACATTGGCTTGTTTCCCTGATCCATGAAGGCTTTCTTGAGGTCTGGGCCTTTTAGACGTCCGCGGATTTGGATTCCAGGAGGAGGTGCCGTGCAACGGCTCGGCCTCTGAGCGCGGCGCGCGCATGGAGGCGGCGGGGAGCGAGCTCTCAGTGCAGCTGGGAGGCCGGACTCGGAAGTTGTGTGCTGCTTCATTTTCACTTCAAGGTCTAAGCCAGGCAAAATGAAACCCGGCAAAAGGCGCTCAACTCTGCAGACACCTCCTTGTACGAGTGGAAAGGACCTCACAAGAAGGGCTTGCAATTCTTACCTTCGCTTGGCACAATCTGTTTCATGGCATCACGTTTCAAGGGGAAGCCAAAAGAAGCTTGCTTGAACAATGGTTTGAGGTTGAATGGGTGAAGGACAGACCCGAATCCATCTAAGCGGCTGAAGGAGGCAACCAAATCAATTAATCAATTCACATGTTCTTGCTTCCAGTTTGAGGTCGAATGGGTGAAGGACTGACTCGAATCAATGAACCTGGACCTTTTCTTGCCCGAAGGTTATGGGGGCTGGGGGGTAGGGAGGGGAGGGGGAGGGAGCCCCAATACGCCCCAAATAAGGGCTTAACAAGGGCTTATTTGGGCTCCCTCCTCCCCTCCCTCCCCCCCAGCCTCCATGACGAAGCCCGGCAGTCCAATGATCACCTTGCAGGGCTTTGGAGCTTCTGCGGGGACTTCCGGCTCAGCGGGGATGTGGGCTGCGCACTGGACGCGGCCGAGAACCCCTCGCAGAACTTCTCGGTCGCGGGGATGGAAAAACCAGCGCCGCCTCACTCGTCGTCTTTTTCGCAAAGGGGTTGGTGTCCCTGTGTTCTTTTTTTGGGATAGGGGTAGGTGATTCTTTGGGTCGATTCTCTTTTCTGGGATGGAGTTTCTGCTTGGTTTTTGTGGGGGAGTTAGTTGCTTTGTTTGTGCTCTTTGGTTGTTGTTTGCAAGTTTTTTGGGCGGGGTTTCGCATAAGATCAACGCACGAGAAAAGACCCAACCAGGTACGCTGGTCCTGAGGGCCTGCTCACAGCGAGTTGGCTTTGTGTCATGCGATGCCTTTTGATTGATGGGGATCCTTTTTCTGTGCACAACCAGGCAGCTCCCGGGAAACCAACTGGGCCTTGTCCACCCCCCTAGCCACCAAGAGTGAAGCTCACTGGACCTGGGATTCAATCGCAAGGTGGCTTTCCTGAGCTCCTGCGTCTCCACCTTGAGCCCCGCTGCTCGGCGGGGGCGGGTTGACGCCCGACATGTTGCTCGACAGGTTGAAGCCATCTCCCAGATCGGCAACAGAGTTGACGTTTTTTTTTTCCCATTCGTCCCTCGGGGATCTTGCGGACACGCTTCATGTGTGCAGTTTTACTGGAGAATGCGACGGCCCCTCCAAATGAACGGGTTCCACCCCGGAATGTGCGGAACATGACAGCCTTCTTGAGGATCAAAACATGAAGAACAACCTCTCAGAGGCCCAAGTTTCAGGTCACCAAACCCCTAAACTGCTCCGAGTGATTCCGCTCAGCAGCTTGGACAGGTTCCCTTGGAGTGATTGCATCTTGAGGGGGCTCTCAAGCATTTTGTTCAGGCTCCCGGTGGTTTCCTGAACTTCTATTGAGAGGGTCATCTTTTTTGGAGGGTCTCCAGAACCCCCATGACACTGTCGTCCTTTTGGGGGGTTTTGGTAGTTTCCCTTCGACCCAGGGAAACAAGAAAAACCACCCGAGCCCGGCAAAAGTTTTTGTCGTCCCGAGGAGCAGGGCAGCCGCGGGGTGGCGCTGGACCAGCCCGTGACGTTGACCTTCCCGGAGCCCGTCGCGCTCGCACCGTCCAATGCCTCGGTGGTGCTGGAGATTGTGGGGGAGAGCGTGAGGCAAATGGGAGGATGGCATGGGCTTCTGGCATCTGATGGGATTGCGGAGATTTTGGGGGGCGAATGGGCAAATGGCTGTTTTTGTTTTTAGGTGAGTGGGGAGGAGGGGGGAATACCTTCCCGAATTGATCTTGCTGGATAGGCATTCCGCCATGATGTCCACCAACATTTCCTGCCCATGGCGGTTAGCCAAGGGGTCAACTGAAGATCAAAAGGAAGCAGAAAGGAGGTTGTGTGTCTCAGGACTTCTGCATTCAACTTAACACCCTGAATTCGCACCCACGTTGTTCATTCTGGGTATTGGGATTGTTTCCCCCGCATGTACGATCAGTGGATGAAGCACAAAGAAGAGAGAGAGCTCGGAGTGCGCGCCTAGAGCTTTTTGTGTGCGACAGGCGCTACGGCCAGGAAGACTGGCCACGTTTGTACGCGGCTCGGTTGCAGAAGGCAGGGGGGGGGGAAACGCGTCGCTAAATCGCTGGTATGCAGCACATCCTCATTGCGCAAACCTATTCGGCCAGTCTGGCGTACGGGGCTCGGGAACAGCAAACCATTCTACAAAAGTGTAGTTTAATAAACGATCCAGGGAGAGGGCAGGGTTTCTGGTCAGCCCAGTGAGTCTGGTCGGCCAACGCTCAGGTCTTGGGCCGCAGCTTGATCTTGGACCTGGCCTGCGCCACAAAGTACTGCGCTATCCAGGCTGGACCGGGAGGGGTGGGTTGGGGGCGGGTTTGTCAACACGTTTTTTTTTTGGACGGGGGGGGGGGAAGGCTAGGCTAGTATGTTGTTTTGGTTCTAGGCCCACTGGGTCATAGATTGGTTCCATTTCTAACAGCTTCGGACCAAGCAGGCGTCAGTGTATATTCCCTTTTTTTAGAGGTAGGTGAAGCGCCACCCGCTGGGCCAATTTCAATTGAGACGATGTTTTGCGGAACCTGCTAGCTAGGCTTGTCAAAAACCATCCGCAAGATCCTCCTGGCAGATGGATGAGGTACCCTTGGTGTCCCATTGCCGCTTATGGATTGGGACATTCAAGATCCCCCATTTTGAGCAGCCCAGGTGTGATTTTTTGGAAATATCCATTTTCCATATTTCCGCCAGTCCAACAGGAATGGATCATATACCCATATCCATGTAATTGCGCGAATGAACATGTAAGGAACAGCCTTTCTATACTCTATGCATCTTGCTAGCCGGGTCATGATTGGGGCACTTCTTATTGGGCTTGATCCTCACGCAAACAGTAAAGACTTTGGCTGCAAAATTGAACGCCCTGGTGCTTCTGGAACCCTCCGGAACCCTGCCTGAGAGCTACCCCAAAACACCCCGGAGCTTACGCGGGCAGAGACCCCATTTTTTGCCATAGCTTTCAGCAGTTGGGGGAAACACACACACCTAAGTCGCCCAGCGCGAAGGCGGCTTATGCCAACCTAAGCTTCTCGCCGCTCGGCTTCTGCGCTGAACTCACGCCGCAGCAGTGCAAGGTCAGCGGCGGGCGGGGGCTGGCTGCATGGATAAACCACCCCCGTTTCCCGGGTGTGTGTTTGCGTGTTGGTTTGTTTATTTGTTTATTTGTTTGCTTGTCTGTTTATTTGTTTGTTTGTCTGTCTGTTTGTTTGTTTGTTTGTTTGTTTCTTTGTTTGCTTTGTTGTTTGTTTGTTTGCTCGCTCGTTCGTTCGTTCGTTCGTTTGTTCGCGTGTGTGTGCGCCGGGCGGCATCCAGGTCGAGTTTCCCCCACAGGGTCGTGTTTTTAAGTGACTTTCAGGCCAGGTTCATTTGCGACTTTTACTTGGGTCATTTCCTGGTCCAAGGCCAACAGGGTGTTTCAAACCTGCCTTTCTCACGCCGCAACCAGGAACATGCGCTGGCCAAAGTCTGAGACCCGCATACCAACCAATGCCCAGCTGACGTGCCAGAATGCGCCTTCCAGACAAACAAAATACCCAAAGCAATCAAGGGATGATGACTGGCCTGGCAACTATCAAAAGGCTTCCGCCCTTTCCGTTGGTTCCCACTTGCAGTTGTGCTTTGCTTTTCGCAATTCTCTTCTGTCCGCTGCCTTGGCAGCTCACCTGGTCCAATTTTAATTGTTCGCTTCAGGTGATTTGCATGTGTGTGTGTGTGTGTTTTCCTTGTTAGTCTTGAAGGGACATGTAGGACCCCGCCTTTGTCAAGTAAGGGTTTGTTTTACCATGAGACATGTGAGAGGCTGTTAGTGGGCGGAGAGCAGAGGTAGATACGGATGATCAATCTTCCATCTTTCCGTGCGCCAAAGCACATAGAACCACTGTGGATGGACGAAATCCTGCACCGCCTAAGAAACCTAGGAAAGATGATCCCCCTGTAAATACCAACCAACACTGGTTTCCTGTAGTTTGAAACTGGTGCAGGATTCTGTCCATCCACAGCATGTTTTGGAGAGAGGGGCGTCGCCAGGGAAAGGTGCACCGGGTGTGGCTGGAGGGTGGCCTGGTGCTGCGGAACCTCACCTGGCCCGAGGCGCCTGAGGGCCTGGGCGTGCAGGACGTGCCGGCGCAGCTGGTGGAGGCGGCTGCTTCAAAGGTGGAAACCAGTTCAAAAAACATGTGCCCTCAAGAAGAAGACACACCAACGGTCGGAAACGTGGTGGCTCCTGGCAACCACGAAATAATGCTGAGACAACTAGGGCATGCCTTCCTAAGGGCTAACAGGAATATTCGAAAAGGATGTTCCACTACCCCCCAAGCCGCTAATCTCATGGGTTACATGGATGGTTTGCACGGCCACCGCGCAAGGGGTTCACGTTTTTCCTCTCTTTTTTTTTTGTTTTGGTAGTTTGGGCAGTGCACCATCCTAGAAGTCTCAGAGTTGAGGCAGCGGCTCGGGCAGATGTGGTTCCTGTTGCGCCACAGGAGCCGTACTATTTCACGCTGCAGGTGGCGGACTACACAGCTCCCCGCGTACTGGTCATGGAGGACAGGTGGTCACAGAGAGCGATCTCAATGCTGTGAGTTTTGCAGTTGTTGGTGCGTGCTTTCTCTTGGGTACCCTTTCCACATTGCCAACAGCTCAGCTTCCTGCTAATTGGTGGTTTGGGTTGGTGGTTTGGTGGTAGTTGGGGGGGATTTTCCATTTGCTCTCTAAAAAGCAAGGGTTCCATTTCCCAAACTCCCAATTAAGGGTCAAGTGATAGGTGGAAACCATCACCAATCGGCCGACCTATTTTGACACATACCCTGGTGGCATGGCCAGATTTTGTGACTTGTTCCCGTCTTCGAGAATTTTTGGGTCGGCTTGTCTGTGGCATGTCCTCCATTGCCAACTACCTGGGCTTCATCACGTTTCCGGTTTGTATGTTCCGGGAATGGGGGCGCGGGAAAGCAGAATGGCTTCAGATTGCAGGGTCCATGGCTGAACAACTCCCCTGGGCCCATGCGGTGCCAAGAATGAGAATAGGGCCTTTGAGCCGACCATTCACGTCGCCTCTGTTTTGTCTTCGTGGCTTGTGGGGAAAAGTTGCTGTTTGGGCCGCTTTCTTTTATACCAAAGGAAGGTCTCTTAGGCGCCCCTGTCTCTTTCCAAGATACTTGCACTACCCCCCAAACCACTGCATGGGGTTTAGTGGGACACGCGGCCAGCCAGTATATTTTCACTGCAGGGTATCCCCCCCCCCCCCAGTTTTGCCTCGGTTTGCAGGGGGGGCATTGCATCTCTCGGCAGGTGAGCGCGAGCGGAGTGGAGGTGGCGCTCAAGGTGCGCCTGGACGAGGCCGGCGTTGTGTACTGCGCCGCGTTGGGGGAGGCGGACGGCGAGTGCACGCAGGAGGTGCTGCTGTTGCAGGACTCGGGGCGATTGCGGTCGCTGGGAAGGATTTGGGCCTCCAAGGGTACGGCGTGGCAACCACAAGGGGATAGGCCAGAATTCGCAGGCCATACTTTTGACAGGATTGCTTTGGCCGAGCGGGAAGAAAGTCGGGCCCTGTCAGACTGAGACCGTTGGGGCGGCTGACCCACTCACAGAAAAGGCCTTTCCAAGGCGCAGTAGGGTTGGGCAAAATGTGTAGACCTGCTTGGGCCCCTTCAAAAGGATGTTCAAACAAGGGGTTGGCCCAGCCCAGAATCACCGAAACCTGGCAAGCAACGCCGATGGACAAAAACAGAACAAGTCGAAAACATGCAACAAGTGCAAGAACAAACAGGCACATTTCTCTTGGAAGCTTTTGCGAACAAAGGTCACTGGGAAGCAAAAGCTCCTTGCAGTATCCCTGGTCAGGAAGGAATCAGCCCTTCCAAGCAGCAATGGTTGCCAGGAAGTATAAGCTTTTCCAAAAAAAGGTCGCCACTGATGGCAACACAGCCGATCCCACCAGCGCACCAACAGCACCCTGGGAGGAGTACAGCAACAGCACCTGCAACTTGACCCGGTCCGACTGCAAGGATTGCGAGCCGCCCAGCTACGGGCGCGAGCCCCAGGTGATGATGAATCCAGTTCATGAATCCATGCAAATCCCAGGTGGATTTGTAGGGTGGGCGTCCAATTTCAAACAGGGTCTTCAAGGATACAAATTTGGGCATGTTCAATCAGTCGCAGAATCACCAGCAGATTTCGAGGACAATCATCTCAGTATTACACATTTTTTTCAGGACCTCCTGCTAATCCTTCAAGGAGCCCCGGGTCATCGGGATTGATGTGGATCAGGTGCTTCACCCGGAGCTCCATGTGGGCGGACGACGGGTGCTCAGGCCGTTTCCTGCTGGAGGGCGTGGAGTTGGACTGCTCCGCGGCAGTCGGGTTACCGTGGCGAGACGGCGAAGCTAACCACCCACTAGACCACGGTTGGCCCGAAAGCATCACAGCCCCGTGATCATTCCCGCGCAAGTCTTTTGCTCGATGTGCAACCTGTCAGCTACAAACAGCCATCAGCTACAGCCAGAGGAGCACTTCACTTTCGATGGCGTTTTCGCTTCACTTTCGCTTGTTGCTCGCGACCTCCGGCCCCAGACCATGTCCTTCTCTTCTTGCGCTTGGCTGCGCTTGTCCCTTCAAGCCACGGCAGGCCATGACGAGCCGCGCCTGCCTGGAGTCTAGCTACTTCGCGCTCCATGATATGCGCTTGAGCCGATGCTGAGTGCTGAGATAGCACTGGTCACGAGCAATACACAACGACATTTCCTTGTTCCTGCTATCTTGCCACCTATCGGACCCCCCCTGACACGAGATGACACGTACACCGCCCTCGTGCAAAACAGTGACTACAACGCAAATGACTCTCGTGATGACTCTGCGCAATGACTCTCATGATGACTCATGTGCAATGACTCTCATGATGATTCTGTGCAATGACTCTCATGTGCAATGTCTCATGTGCAATGACTCTCGTGATGACTGCGTTCAATGACCCTTCTGTGATGACTCTATGCAATGGCTGTCATGATGACTCCGTGCAATGACTCTCATGATAATAATTCTCCCAAAGGAACAACCTGACTTTTGCTCTGCCCAAGTTGCCCTGTGCTAGCTGCTCTGTGCAAGTGCTCTGTGGAAGTTGCTTTGCGCAGGTTGCTCTGCGTCAGCGCTCTGTGCAAGTTGCTCTGCGCAAGTGCTGCCGGAGATTTCGGGAAGTACTTCGCATACTAGTTTTCTACTGGAAACGTTCCATTATGCAGCCGGAGCTGCAGGACTGTGCTCCGCGTACTGCATTTGCGATTTTTTTAGTCGGGGCTGCGTGCGCAGTTCGCAAGGCTCCCCCCTTCCCCCCCCACACCTGCGTGCCTCTCTGGGGTGCGTGGGATGTCTGGGGATGTGTGGGGGAAAGAGGAGGGAGGCTTGTTTCAGCTGGATGTGCGGGACTGTGGGACGGGCGCTGGGCGTGCGTGGATTGTGGGATGGGGCAGGGTCGCCCCTGCGCCCATCCCGCAATCCCACACCCAGCTGTCCAAGAACAAAGGCCCGCCCCACAGAGCCTGCGCCGCCCATCCCACGGCGCCACAGCGAGCGCGCTTCGACACTCACGATCCCCACAGAGGGTTCATCGGGCGCTTTGCAAATGCGCACGGCGTCGCAGCAACAGCGCTTCGACCACGCCGATCTGCGCAGAGGGTCGCGCGGGAATGTTAAGAATCGTAAAAAGTCCACAGTTGTTCAACATCGACCACGCGGGTCTCCGCAGAGGGGTCGCGCGCGCACCGCAGAAATCGTAAAAAAGTCCCAAGTTTCTCAGCGTCGACCACGCTGATCTCCGCAGAGGGTTGGTTTTCGCAGAGTGCTGTCGGCCCTAAGAAGGGAAGAAAGGAATTTAACACTCCTTGACTCTCATGAGCATTGCTCCTCGCCAGTGGCTCTCACGAGCATTGCGCCTCGCAAGTGGCTCTCTGTGCAATGGCTCTGTGCAATGGCTCTGTGCAAATGATTCTGTGCAATGACTCTGTGCAATGACTCTTTGCAATGACTCTCATGATGATAACTCCCATGAACCCAACGGAAGAACCCTGCCATGCTTTCGGGAAAACAGCTTTTAAAAAACATGTCGCGCAATGCACCTCTTTACCTCTTTGGTGAGGGGAAAAGCGCTCAGAATTCAACTTTCGAGTGTGACCTTAGTAATCAAAAAAAACTGCCGGGCAAGGCAACCTTCTAGTTTAAGGGAAAAAGCGCCCAGTTCTCAGTAGGGCAACGCTTTCCGCAGGCAACTTCCGGGGTAACATTTGCGCCACGGTGAGTCCTAGAACCAAACACCAGGGCCCCGCTAGGCAGCCATCTGCCTCTACAAAGCCTGGGTACTCACCCCCGGCAGCGTGTTGCGCTCTTGGTCCTTGCTGGCCCTCCTGTGGTCTCATTTTGATGGCTTCTCTGTTATGGTCCTGGCGTTTGGCTTGCTTTGGTAGGGCGCCGCTGCATGCCCATCCCTGCCTTAGGGATGGGCCCTGTTCTTCGGCCCCCTCCCCTCACTGCATGGTGGCGATTTACTGCCCTACGTGCCGGGTGCAAACCTCATGGTCCCTCCCCGGAGGTTCACCTTCGGCCGAAATCAATACTTTGTGGTGTTGTTTCTCTACATTCCTGGTGGCCTGGGTGGTTTTGTCCGTTGGAGACCTACAGCTGTATAGTGGTTCAGCTTTTTACTACTCCTTGGGCCTGCCGTGCAGCTTCCAACACAAAGGTTTCAATTGATGCCTCCGCTGGCTCCTGGGCGCCTGACTGGCGGCCGACCCAAAGCAGATGGCCGCAGCATGAGATGGGACGGCGCCTCTTTCCAAGACTTTCCAGCTTCTCAAGGCAGGCGCAGGGGTTGGGGGGATCATTTCCGATGTTTCAGACTGGTTTCATGCTACTGCTCTCGACCCCTCATTTACTGGCTCTGTGGGGTGGATGACCTACCGGTATCTGTTCAACGTGACGGTGCCCAGCAACAGTATTCTACGCCGGCTTTGGATGGCGTCGTTGGGATCCGATGTCTTCTCTACTTGGGGCACCCGGATTGCGGTTTGTTCAGGACACACTACCTTTGCAGCCGTGATGCGGGACGCTGGCTCCCACTGGGCCCCTCCCTTCCTGCCCTCTCTGGGCCGGAGGGTCTGATGACTTGGATGAATTCCTTCAATCTTTGCGCGAGGGGATGTTGCTTTGCTCCCCCTTGCAGCCCTTTTCTACGGCCCTTGGGCCCTTGTCACCAGTGGTTGGGCGGCATGCCCCCCTCACCAGCGCAACCGACCGTGGAGGCGCCGAGTGCCAAAAGAGTTCCCTTTTCTACCGCAGGTCGCTGGTTGCAGCTGGCTTGCCATTAGAGATCGAAGATGCCAAACGCGTTAAACCCCAAAAGGATGGTAGGTTGGCCTGCCCGCAAAAGGATTGAGCCTTTTTGGCATTGGAGAAGTTGTGGGAGAGAAGATGTTTCCCAACATGGGGAGGTGCATTTTGGGCTGGCCTTGCCCAATCTTCAGAATGCAGCTTCCCAATCATGACTTTGACCGAAATGCAGAAATAAATGCAACCCATCTCAGAAAAGCGCCCAAAATCGTACAAGCTTGAGACCCTTGAGCTATCACACAGCCACCGCCCACCAACTAACATGGAACCTGGTTTGGGCCCTGTTGAGTGTGACTCTCATCCGACTTTGTGAAACAAGATGGCGGGTGTAGCATACGTGGGAGCTCCTGCGATCTTAAAAAACCACTACTCGCAATCTTATTGTAAACGCTTCGTGTTGCACGCCTGGGCCAGTTCGCTTTGGGCTGGCTTTGGGGTCTACAAGTTTGCCTTCCCAGGTAGAGGGTGCATGTCTGCGTGTTTCCACATGGCTTCAAGGGCCAGAACGAGAGCTTTAGAGAGCTACAGGCTTTGAGGGGCGGGATTTTCTGGTTTTTTGGAGGCCTTCCAGGCTTGCTTCAGGCGGACTGGATTTTGGCTGCGCGACATGGGGTCGGGGGGAGGTCGGACAGACCAATTTTGGAGTGGGGGTTGGGGATGGGGTTTTGTCTGACCGCTTCCCGGCCCTATTGAATGTTGCCTTGTTTGGCAACTGATTTGCGGAAGACATAGTCAGGTGGGCAGGTTGGCTGGGGCGGCACGGTATTTGTTATAGGATAAACACCGGTGTCCTAAAAAACGCCCAATGAGAACAGAAACCTCATGTGGACCAAAAGGGCAAAGCTTGCTTGATGTTGATTTCAGTACGGATGCAAACTGTGAAAACATGGCCAGTCGATCCTTCAGGTCTGAGAAAATATTCAGCTGGCTAGTGTCAGGAAAGTTACGACAGGGATAACTTGCTTGTGACAGCCAAGGCCTCATAGCGACGTTGCTTTTAATCCTTGGATGTCGGCTCTTCCAATCATTGAGTCCTGGTTGGACAATTTCCTGTCCTGGCGGGGAAAGCACTGGTCGGTTTCAACGGGCATTTAGGTGGGGGTTGATGTCTGCCAGCCATTTAGGAGAGCATTCCTCATTAAACAGCCATGTGGGTCCCTGAATTCGAAGGTCCTTAAGTGAAAATGGAGAAAGAACCAGAGCCTGAGCATGTTGTTCTCGAAGACGGGGACCCTTGATCCCCTCGTAAACAAAATGAACCTCGCCGCCCTCAGCCGCGAGAACGCGGTCAACCTGAGGCCAGAGCTGGGAGCTGGACAAGACACTACACGACGCGGCCTTCCGTTCCGTGCTGTCGCTGGGGCACCGCCACGCCTGCGCTGTGCGGAAGGACATCCAAGCTGCGGCCTGCTGGGGCAAGGCGCGGCTGAAGGGGGTCGAAGGCTTCCGGGTGTGCTTTTGGGCGGCGGTTTTGGGGGTGGGGGGGGGGCTGCATATTGCTTTGTTTATTTTTGCAGTTTTTTTTGGCTTTTGCATTTTTGGTTCGGGGGTCGTTGTTCCAGTTTTTCCTTTTCAGTGTGTTTTCCTGGTTCCTTTTGTGGGCCTCCCGCTGACTGCCATTCTTTCCCATGGCTGCAAGAGGCTTCCCCGAAAATGCGGCACTCCCAATCCATCCCATGGCAGGATTTTGTCCGTTCACAGTTTGGGCAAACCATTCTCACCCCCCCCCCCCCCCCCACCCGCCCCCCGCTTTGACCTTTTCCGCTAGAGGTTGACAACCAAATCTCTAGATTCAGAGGTTGACAAGATGCTGACCTGTTAGGGGCCCCGTTTTGACGGCACAGAATGGTACCAGGTTGGGGCCTCCCTTTAGGAACTGGTTTAGAAAGAGTACACCTACCTGATGGTGCGGGATTATGTCCATCCCAGTATACTTCGAACCACCCACTTGGCTGGAATTGGTGGTTGTTTGCGCTGAGAAACTTCGCTTTTGAAGTCACACCAAGGCAGACTTCAACCCAGGCTTGTTTTTCCTCAGAGAAACCGGCGCCCCGAAGTTTCGAAGCTTGGGTTTACCTTGGGGCCATCAGTCAGCATGATTGCACGGAGCACGCTGGGGGGTGGCTTTTGGGGGTGACGCGTTTGGAGTTCTCCAGGCGGACTACATCGACCCGGTGACCTTCGCCGCCCCCGCAGGGAGCTTTGGGGCGGTGGCGGCGGGGTACCTCCACACCTGCGGGCTGCTGGAGACTGGAGAGGCGGGCAATGGGCAGGAAAGGGGGAAGTAAGGCGTCAAACAGCAACCCCCCAAAAACACCAACTGGCATCCTTGGGCAAGAGAAACGTCGACAAAAGCTGGGGGGGCATACTGATTCAGAGATGGTGAGGGGAGCCACGGCAAGCTCGCGGTTCTTGATGTTCTACTAGGCACTAATGGTCACTTTTTAGGCTGCAATGGCTTCCCCTGCTCATGGCTCTTAATCAGCATGTACGTCAAAATTGGGGAACAGAACGAACAAATGATTCAGAGGGAGACTCGGAGATGGTGGCTTTGATTAGGGTGCCCCCCCCTCGCCCCGCACGTGAATCGGCCAGGGGGGTGAGGAGGGGCAACAAGACAGCCGGGGACGGGCGAGGTGTGTGCTGCGTCAAGAAGGGCTTGCTAAAGAGCACGCCGAGAAATCAGCGGAGACATCGGGATGCTGAACCCCGAAAAGATGATAGAATCCTGCCAGGAACCCTGTCTAAGAAAAGCTAAGAACCGTTTTTTCTTTGACCCGCGTGTTGGCACTGCAGAAGGGGCAGACACCAAACCTTACCGGCATCACCCCGTTGATGAGAAAGGAACCGGGTGGGCGAGCCCAAACAGGCGGGCGCCAATTCTGTGATTGGCTTCCTTGGAAGGCCGTGAGCGTCCTCAGGTGACCTCATGACTGATGACGAGTTATGGCTTTCCAGGGTTGTAACCCCTGGACTCTCTGAGGGGCAGACAGGATCTCGTTTTTTGTTGTTGCTTTTTCTCGGTTTCCCTCGGTTTCCCTGCCTGGCCTTCTCTTGTAAAACGCCAGGTGCAGTGTTGGGGTACGGACCTCCATGGGGAGACCTCAGCGCCTAGCGGGAGCTACGAGCACATCACCAGTGGCTTCAGGCGGGCGGACACTGAGCGGGGAGGAGAGGAGGGCCTTTCATTTTTCCCTAAATATGTCATTCCCATTGGCCAGTTCGAAGTGAGTTTCCTTTTGGTGGGAGGCTTGTTTTTTTTTTTGAGGAAATCGACACATATGACGTGTCTTTTGTCTTCGGCAAGTTGGTGTCCAAAAGACTGTTGGCAACCAAAGGCAGTGTCAACATGTTTGCTTTTTTCGGGGTGTTACGGGGTGTCCTAAGCTGGGGCATGCCCTTTTTGGGATTTGGTTTTGAAGGACGGGCCCAAAGGAAGCTGCCCCTTTCCGGGTTTGGCCCACTTGCCATTTCAGGAAAGACCCCTCCTTCTCTGGGGTTTATCCAACTACTTCCGTGATACTTTTGGGAATCGCCTCCTTTCGGGGGGGGGCATGGGCTAGGGCTTAGAATAAGTTGGCACCCGACTTTTTTTCTGTAGTCTGTTTTAGAAGGGCAACCCTCCCAACCAAAACAGAAACGGTAGAAGGGCACTGGGGGTAGTCTTTGGGGTTAGGCCCAGCCAGGTTTTCTTGCGCGCTGCGCGCCAGCGACCACTCCGCGGTCTGCTGGGGCCTCAACGACTTCGGCCAGGCCTCGCCGCCCTCCGCGGCCTTTTTGACGGTGTCGGCGGGGTATAAGCACGCCTGCGGCATACGGGAAGACTACCTGCTGGCATGCCTCCTGGCTGAAGCTAAGATGGAGCTTTCCTTTGGGTCAAAAGGTGTGTGCCCTCGGAAAGAAAGGGAACCAAAGGTGTTGGTTGAAAAACCCCGGCCTTTCGGCTGCCGTCCGAAGAAGGTTTGCAGCCATTGGTTGAGGTACGTTTCACCAAATCCCACTTCAAGAAAGCAAAGACCAAGGAAAAACAACCAAGCAACCAGGAAACAAAGAAAACAACCAAGGACCCCAGGAAACAATAGACATCACCCCCACCGGACCTCTTCTTTTTCAGCTCGGCGAGGCTGGGGTCTGGACGACTTGGGCCAGGCCTCCCCTCCAGCGGGGGAGTTCCTGGCGCTGAGCGACCGGGGCCAGGCGCTCGCCTTCGGCAGCCTGGCGGCGGGGTGGCACCACAACTGCGCGGTGCGGAGGGACCAAGGCGGAAAGCGGCGGGCGGCCAGGGGGGGGAGGGGCCGGGGTTCGCCATTAAACAAAACACACACAAACAAAAAAAAACAAGGAAAAAGCAAAGAAAGGTGGTTGCAAAAAGAGGCCCCAACTGGGCAGCGCACAGATGTGTAGATGTGTACGGGGGAGGCGGAGTTTGGGGGATTTCGGGGCCAGGGTGAAAAATGGTTCTTCCTCTCTGGGAGCCACAGGAATCTCCTGCTGGGGCGACAACAGCCAGGGCCAGTGCGACGTGCCGGTGGGCGAGGCCACGTATCTGCAGGTGGCGGCCGGGCGCGTCCACAGCTGCGGGCTCTTCAAGGTGCTGCCAGGGCAAGGCCCAGGCCGGGGGAAAGCGAAGCCGCCGTTGGAATGAGGCCTGCGAACAGTGGGACGAGGCGGAAGTCCCCATGGCCCTCCAAGGGAGGCAGAAAAACAGCACACCGCACAGGGCAGGTTTTGGGAAGAGCATTGGGGCACACCCTTGGGTCTTGAGGCCCTGAGTGCCCCATCTCGAGGCGTGGTGAAGAATGGCACGTTGCACTGCTGGGGCGCGGATGACGTGGGCCAAAGCTCGCCGCCACAGCTGCCCAAAGTGGGGGGCGTTGCGGCGGACGATGACTACACCTGCGCGCTGGCCATGGATGGCACGCCCTACTGCTGGGGCAAGAACGATTTTGGCCAGGCGTGGCGGCGTGGCGGTAATCACCGGTAATTGGGGAGTGGAAATTGCAGCCAAAGAAAGGACGGCGGCAGAACAAGCTCAAGCATTGTTCCGTGGAGATGAACTTGTTTCGTACATGGCTATGCATTTTCATGGGGAACCATCTGTGTTGGTTGGTAGACATAAATCCCCACTTTGTCCGGCAAAGGGTCCCTAATTGGAGTTCATACCCACGTGAGGTCCACCACCGGTCCAAAATTTTATAGCTCAGCGGGCTCGGGTGAAACGAAGCCGCCTGGCCTGCACCAGGCGAGCCCCAGTGGCAGTGGCTACGGCCTGCCGGATGAGTTCGAGAACGTCACCTGCGCCACAGACACCACTGCCAGCAGCAAACGGATCAAAGGAGCCGCTGTACACAGGGCCAGGGAAGGAGGCCAGCGACCTGTGGTTTGGGTCGGTTTCGAGTCTGTGAAATTTGGTTGGCTTGACATCCCTACTGTTCTGCCAACTCCCTTGGTGCGTCTTCCTTTGGGGGAGTCACGTTTCAACCGCAAAATTGTAGGGTCGCAAAAATAAAGCCATTGGCTTGATGCAAGTTTTGCCTTTTGGTTCCCCTTTCCGGGGGAAACTGATTGTGAGGGTCTCCTTGGTTTTCCAAAAAAGGAGGCCTTGACTAGGCAAACCCGGACACCGAAATCCTGACTGGTTCGGACCCCCTAAGCCCTGAACTGCAGGACTCCTCCAAAGGCGCTGCTACACACGTCACAGTCCTGGGACTCCCTTTCTATTTGATTTTTTCCGACCGAACCGTCCGTTATACCCTCAGGGATTGGGTTGTGTGGTTGTGGAATGCCCATCCCCGCTGCTCCAAGCTTCCAGCGACTGGGTCGACGTGGGAGCACCACGTCGCGCAGGAGCCGGGCTCCGCGAGGCCAGCGCGTCCGCGCGCGCGGCCTATGACTCCGCCAGGGGCCATGCAGAGGCGCGGGGCTAAGCGCGGGGCGCGTGTGAATTCGCGCGCGTCACGGCCAGCAGCGCGGATCAAGCTTGTCAGACTAAAGAAGCTGATGAGGAGAACAGCTGCCGCCCTCCCACCCAGCACCTTCGATCTTTCACCGAGGGCCAGCACGGGGCTCCTGATTTGGGAATTTTCTCAATTGCTCATCACCTTTTGCGGAACATGCGCAACCACCTGTTCATTTCTCGCATCCCTGAAGACTGGCCCAGTGCCGGCCGTTTTTTTCTTCCTCTTCTTGAAAGGAGTGTTTGCAGTTGCATGGTTGTTTGCATGGCTATCCTCAGGTTCGAATGCTGCAATGTTTGGGCGGGAGCACGTCCATTCTTACTTCACCACGCTGGTGCAAAGTTGTTGGGAACGCATGAAGTCGTCGGGGCAACCTTGGCCATGTTCCCGTCAAGGAAGTTTCATGGCGCGTGCAGGGGTGCAGCCTGTGGTCCTGGACAGACAAGTGAAGTGGACACGCAACCACTTTGTGTTTTGAGTTGGAGCCAAGGGCTCATACGGACAATGCCATGAATCAGGTGTTCTCATGTGCAAAAAGTGCAGCTTTGAATATCGCTTGTTGGGCCACTTCAAGGTGAGTTTGCTTTTGGCAGGGAGATGTTTAGGTGCTTCACTCTTCTTGGCATCGCCTTTTCTCCAGTGTTCTTGCTGCTTCTCGTTTCTTGCGGCGCAGTGCGGACGGCCAAGTCCAGGCCAGGCTGACGCTGCAGGGCCTGGCGGAGGGTCAGAGCTATGGGGTGTACTGCACCGCGGAGGACGAGGACTCCCAGCGGAGCCGGAGGTCCGGAATTGGTTTCTCTAGCAAGCCATCAGGCGTTCCTCTATCATAACCAGGTTTCCGGTGAAAGTCGAGTGTCACCACCGCTTTCAGGGGCCGCGTCCTGCTTCCCGGAAGCAACCGCAACGGCCATTTGCAAGCAGCTGGGCAGCTTCGGAGCTCGGAGATGGATACGCTTTGTAGGAGGCTTCCATTTGCTTAAGAGTTTTTGCTTCCCCCCCCCCCCCCCCGCTTGTTGGTCTTAAAAAGAGTTTATCACTACTGGATATATTTTTATATTTTTTTCCGGGGGTCTTAACCAAATGGAAGGAGGGGAAGCAACTCAAACAGAGGGCTGAGGTTACAATGCCTTCAGGAGAGACATCAGGACGGCCCAAAAAAGGGGCTGCAGGCAATCTGTATGTTGAGAGGCATGACTCCATGGCATTGGACATTGGGCGGAAGGCGATGTACCATTTTTCTTCATCACATGTCTGAACAAGTTGTGTGTGCGATATTGGGATCAGGCAGGCAGGTGGCAACCGGAAAATCCATTCATAGTCCTATTTTCCGATTTTGGTGCGGTTAAGACTTGGAGAAACAAACCATGAAGATTTTAACCTCACACTCCTCAAAAGAATGCTCTACTACAAGGGCGATGGCGCGGCGAGAGAGAAACCCAACTGCCCTCCACCTTCGCGATCACCTGCCCTCCCACTGATGAACAGCCGGAACCTGCAAAGGGAAAATGCACAGGTGCCTTTAAAAGGAGAAATGGTCCAAACCAGGACCCCCCCGAACGTCAAACCTCAGGTTCCATGTGAAAGGGGTGGGAGTGCAAGGTGTTGACCCCATATTAGTCAACCCCATTCCCTGGGTTTAGTGGGGGAACCAGCCCACTTTTGGAGGGGCCCCCACCCCCGTAATAAACTGGTTGGTTGAAATTCAGATGGGATCAATATCACTTGTTCTCCTGATCCATGAATGCTTTCTTGAGGTCGTCCGGGCAGCTCCTGGGTCAACATCACACCCAACACGACCCCATGGAACATAGCTGGCCTTTTTTGTTTGAAATCCTTTTTTTTGTTGAACATTTCCTGGCCTTTGAACTTTTCACATGGAACCTGAGGCCAAAACGACCCCCGGCCTTTCTCCAAATCCCAGGAGCTGCCGGTGCCCAACGTGGTGTCGGACTCCGTGGTGGTGGCCCTTGGCCGCCAGGCGCGAGCGAGCCGCCCCTTTGCGATGGCCATGGGCGTTTGGGGAGCTTCGAGTTTTTCCAATAATGCAGATGTATGAATGTATACATATATATACATATACACACACATATATATATATACACGCATACACACACGCGTGCATATATTATTGCTATCATATTGGTATCAAATCTTTGTTATTACTATTGCTATTACTATTGTTGGTATTATTGTTATTACTATTATTATTATAGTTGATTGCAGTTTTGTTTTTCTTATTAGTACTATTATTTATTTATTTATTTATTTATTTATTTATTTATTCATTTATTTATTTATTTTAGTTTTTTTTTTTGGGGAGGGGGAATGGTTTTTGAACTGATTTTTGTACTGTTTGGTTCGCTACATATGGCCCAGAATCAATCAAGTTGATTGACTTTTTCGCAGCAAAAGCCGAGCTGGCTTCCGTTAGCAAGGACCGGCTGATGTCTGCACGACAGACGGTGCACGCCGTGCTCCTCGCTTCCAGCCGACTTAGTTGTTTCCCCGCTCTCTTAGACTGTTTGGTTAATTTGTCATCGTGTCGCTCTTGTTGGCGTAGCTTTCTTCCCCGAAGTGAGTGATGGAGGGTTTGGGAGGGTTGGCAGGGGGGTAGGGGTGGCTGAGGTTCTGAGAGTTGTGGCTGGGGGTGCTTTGGGTCTGGGAGGGCGTGTTCGAAGCTGGCGTTTCCTCTCGTTTGAGGCTGCTGCATGCCGGCAGCGTCATGGGCAGTTTATGGTCATGAACATAGTTTGTAGTAGTGGAGCTGTCTGTTTTATGGCATGCCATGATTTCCACGCGTGTTCTTTTTTCCCCCCCGCGGCAGCGCATCCTTATTTCAAGCCGATGCCCCATGCAGGTCACGATGCCCGACAGGCGAGGCTGCGAGGGGTTGCAGCGGGGCGGGGGTTGCACGAGTTGTGTTTGTTGTTCCCACCGTCAACCTCATTTTTTGATTGTCGAAGTACACGAGCGAAGCTTTTTACCTTTTCCTGCGAGGATCCAGCCACACAAATTCACCTAGCAGGTTGGCAAAGGGGGTTCCCAGATCCATGAGCCCATGTCACATGTCCTTTTGGGTCGGCAGATTTGATTCCACTGCCTTCAGCTTGGTTCCAATCACTCACCTGCGGTCCGCTTGCAGGACGGCGCCGCTGGTGCAGGTGGTGTCGGTGGATCAGGGCCCTGCTGGCTCAGTGGCGCTGAAGGCGGCCCAACTTTTTGTGTGCTTTCACCCTTTCCACCAAAAAGTGGTTGCTTCCTTCACTCTGGGTTTCCCTTCCACCAGCCCGAAAAATAGAAAGTAGTTGCTGTCCAAGCGCGCGCGGAGAGGTGTCGCTGAGCGAGGAGGGGGTGGCCTTCTGCCTGGCAGTGGTGGATGGAGCAAGGGCACCCTCCCAGGCTGGGGGACGATGAGATTCATTGCATCTGAAGTTCGCCGTGCGAGTGCGCTCTTGCGGCGCCATGCATGTCTCAAAAAAAGGAATATAGAATGAGATGCAAGCGATCTTCGTTTTTTTTTTTTTTTTTTGTGTGTGTGTGTTGGTTACTTGTGTGTGTGTGTTTCGAACGGTCAAGGCCCTGACTTTTGAAAACACTGTTGAGGTGTACAGCCACTGCCCCCATCCCCTCCCCTCCCCTCCCCTCCCCTCCCCTCCCTCCCCATCGCTCCCCCAACCCCGGTTGGGGTTGGAGGCGTTGGCCAGGCGGCGCTCCGTGCGCGGGGCGGCCGCTCGGAGGCCGGCGAGGTGGTGCTCACGGGTCTGGCGCTGGACGTGGAGTATGACGGCTACTGCACGGCCAGGCGCCTTGTCGAGCGCTTCGGTTGTGTGGGTGTCGGGGGTGAGGGGTGCTGAGGAAGGCGGAAAAAAGCCAAGCTGCAACCAAGGCTAAAAACGGGGCGCAGGAGGCCAGATTTGCTGACAGCGGCTGAGCTTCCTGATTCTCGCTTTTGTCACGAAAGCTATGCTGGAGTTCTGTTGACTGCGGAAACAGGACACTTTTGCCTCTCACAATTCCTGCCCCAACCGAAGGGCTTAGTCCGAAATGTCCACACCATTCATGACGCCTCATCATTTGTTTCAACACTGATATCTCCACCCCGTGTCTCCCTTGAGGTGCGGGGGATACTTTGGATTTTCACTCTCCTCTCTTGCTCTTTCTCTTTTTGCGGCCCTTTTCTTTTCTCCATGCTTCCGGTGGAAAAAAACTTTTCCGCCCTCTTCTCGCCCGCGCAGCCTTCCTGTCTTCCCGCCCTTGCGCCTCTGGCTCTCAGGGACCTCAGCGGAAACTGGGCCACCCAGGAGGCCATTCTGCAGAGTAAGGCTGGGGCCCCGCGAATGCCGGAAGCCTGTCGGAACAAATGTCAGAGGTCTTCTTCTTAGACAAACCTTAAGATGTTGTTTTCCCCCCCACCAGCTGAAAGCGATGGGGTTTTTGGAGCCCAGATCGTCACCTGAGCTGAGTTTGGTTTGCACGCCCTTTGCATAGAAACGGCGAAGAAGTCGGTTTTGTCTTGAGGGCTTGGCCATGTCTTAATTGGGCGCCAGGAAGCCTTCTGGGAGGGTTTAAAGCAGGGGGCGGGCTAGAAAGTGGGTGAACGTCCTTCAAGTGGGTGCCACCCAAAGCCACCTAGCTTCCTTTTTGGTACATCAAGCGTTTGGTGGCTTACCCCTTTGGTCCAAGGCATGGAACCATTGGGATGTGCCGTTGGGTGTATCTATGGAGCTAAACTCAGCCACCCCCCAGTTCTAGTACGGAACCAGTGGCTTGGGGGTTGTGGAGACCATATTGGGAAAATGAAGGCTCCACTGGGGCCACCTGGTAACTGTGCTAAGGGGTGTGTGTGTGTGTGTGTGTGTGGGGTATGTATTTTTCAGCATGACAAGGGCCCAAGTAAAACTATTTAGACCCAGTGGCAAAACCTCGCCCATCATTTCATTGTCAAAGTCATCCAGGTGAAAGAGGGAAAGTCCGGCTTCTGACTACTTACTTACCCTCCAATCAGCATTTCTGACCATAGCTTCAACTTCCGAACTCATTTCCTGAGTTCCTGGGCAAGGCCCGCCTGAGTGGCTTAGACAACAAGTTCGGACCTTCTTGGGGCCAATGCACTCGATCGGAAGTGAGCTAAACATCACTCACCCAGCCGCAGCCCACGGCCTCGCGAGGGCATAGGTGTCCTTCATGGGTCCAAATCCAAATCGTGCCCCCAGTGAACAGCCCCCAATCCAATCACTAAAATAGGTTCTAAAATGGGTGGTGAATTCACCTACCAACTAAAATGGGAACCAAAATAGGTTCTAAAATGGGTGGTGCATTCACCTACCAACCCAAATGGGATCCCAAAACGGTTTTGACAACCACGGCCAAAGTGGGTCTTTCTACCCAAACGGCCGGCGAGCGCGCGCGGGAAATCGGGTCTCAGGTGGACTTCCACGTGGCCCGGGACCTGGCGCCGCCCAAGCTGCTCCGCACGGAGCCGCTGGGCGACGGCTTCTGCGTCTGCGAGGCTGACGGCGTGGCGCCGGGCTGCGGGGATGCCTGAGGGGCGTGGGGGGCGTTGGGGGTGGGGGGGGGGGGTTCGTGTGGCAAGGGGAAGGGGAAAAAAGGAACTGAGCAAGTGGGGTTTCCGGTAGGGTTGCTTGTTGGTTGGGTGTGGTAAGTTGGTTGATCCGCAATTGAGATAAGCGGCCGTGCCGCAGGGTTTCCCTTTTCCAACCGGAACTGGGCGCAAAGAGCAGGAAATGAAATGGGGAGGGATGATGCTTGAATTGGTTTAAACAGTTCGCGCAGACCCCAAGAGTGATGCCTAGGCATGACCACCCTGAAGCTGACCTTCGATGAGGATATCTTCCGGGGATCAGGCCGGGCTCCCGTGGCTGGGGGCCCGGTGTTGGTCCCAAAAACGCCGGGTTCACAAATTCCCGGAGTTCAGGTAGCCATGCGCCCAAAAAGCGAAAAGAAGGTTGCGGAAAAACATGGTTGCCAGAATCAAGAGAAACCATCTTGTGCTTAAGGTTGAGGTTTTCCTTGGAGACCTTCCTGCAAATCAATTTCGTTGCCACCCCTTCCTGAAGTTTATGCCCCAGACTTCTTCGAGATGCCGAATTGCAAGCGCGGAAGCTAGGCCGTCCACCTTTGGCAGGCAACTTGACGGCTACCTGCACGAACAACCCGGGGATTTGCGCGGATGTGATCTTGCCCATGCACCTGGAGTCCTGGTACACAGGCGGCGAAATGCGAAATGGCCGGCGAACTCGCGATTTGCGCATGGGCGTGCCAGGGTTTCAGGATTTGCCGGCCAACCATCAAACATGTTGACCCTGGCGCATGCTAGCGCTGGGTCCGGCCTGTTTGGGCCGCGAACATGTCCCCCGGCCTGTTACTTCCGGACTTTCTGCGAAACGCAACACGCTATTGTTGGCGCCTGCGAGGCCCCACTTGGGGAAGAGTGCTGCAATGTTGAAATTCCCCAAGCTTGCTCCAAACTGGCATGTACTGGCATGGCCCGCATGGCCTGATTCATGAATGGGCTCTGTGACGGAGCCCTCGCTTGTGGGTTTGTGTTGTCCGATTTTGGGGGCTCGGGGTAGACTTTGGCTTTCGGCTTTCAAAGAGCAGGCCGCGGAACTCACAGCTGGATGCACGAGTTGCCACCTTTGAAGGCAGTGTTCATTCAATCGTCCAGCCTGAGGGCCATGGAGGCTACCGCGCTAATTACAAAGCACTTCACATGGGTATCCACCTGGCCCTTGAGATCTTTGTGCCGCGTACAACGCTCAGGATCTATTTTGCAATTGCCTGGAATTAGGGTACCCTCCCACCAATTCACAGCCGGAACCTGACGTGCAGGGGGGTCCTGGCTACCATGTTCCTTTCAAAAGCGTCCGAATCTGTCCGGTTCCGGCTGTTCATTGGTGAGAGGCCAACCTGACAGGCGGTCCCTTTGAAGGGAAAGTTGTCTTCCAAGACCCCCCCTCCCCCCGTCAGGTTCCGGCTGTGAATTGGTGCGAGGGAGTTTGTTTTGGTTTAAGAAGCTCGGTTTTTCAGTGCTCTTTCTCACGCCTTTTTGGTTGGGAGGGTTCCCCTACAATAGACTACGGGAAAAAAATGTCGGGTACCAACTTATTCTAAGCTTTCCACTGGACCTAAGTCTTCTGTGCCATGCCAGGCAGCTCGAGCATCCTCTTCAACGAGCTGACGGTGCACTTCAGCGAGCCCCTGACCGATGCCTCCAGGTTCAAGGTGGTGATCGACCCCGGCGCGCTGCGGGCCTCATGGCTGGGCAGGGTGGGAGGGGGGAGAGGGTGCCGTTTCACCTGTTCTCTTTCCGTCTTTTGTTTTTTGCATATTGTAAGCCTAACAACCCAACACCCCGAATAAGGAGGTTGCACAATTGACTCTGGAGGAGAAGCGGGGGCTTGGTTGTGCCCGGTGAACAAACGCGTGAGTCTGAGCGGCGTTTGCCCCTCCTAGTGCAACATTACCTTTCACAGATCAACTGGGTGGGTTAGAAGGCATCTGCGAGATCCCTTTTATCTTGAGGCAAGTATGTCCGGTAGGGGGCCCAGTTTCTCGAATGTCTGCGGCCTGGTTTCTTCGACTCCGCTTTTTTTTTGCCGAGGACCGCTCGGGGAATTGGGTGAGCCTGGACGAGACCTGCGCCTCTTGGGTGCCCTTGGGTGCGGAAGATGCGCTGCCGGACATCTGCGACGGGAGCTTCACCTTTTGGACGCCCTCCTAGGCAGGGCTAACTAGGTCCCCCAGTAGTGCCCTGTCCCACCCCTTTTTGGGAGGGAGGGTTTCCCTACTAAAATAGACTACGGGAAAAATGTCGGGTACCAACTTATTCTAACCTCTCTACTGGAGGACCTAGCTCAGGAAAGCACCTGAACCAGCCGCGTAGGAGGTTTCCCTTCCGGCTATGGGTCCCAAATTGGGCATGGCCCGGTCGTTGAGTGGGTTCTCGTGGTTCTCTTGGGGGTTTGGGCTGCCACTTTCTGTGAGCCATTGGAAGTACGCTGGAAACGCGACAAAGCAATAAATGGACGGGAATCTCGCTTGGGTATTGCAGAAATGCTTTTGGAGAGGGCATGGCAGGGCGCTTAAAACCCACACGTCGTGGCAATTTCGGGGGTTCAAGTCACTAGTCCCTTGTTTACTGAAGCTTGTCGTGTGTCCTAAAAGAATCGCATCTCCTCTTGCGTCCTGCGCCTTCCCCAAAAGGGCGACACGTCACCTGACTGATGCTTGGCTGAGTTGTTCAAAATGAACGACTTGAACATGCGGGGGGGCGGGGTCAACGTTTCGCCAATCCAGAATCTGTGAAGGGAACCACAAAGTCAAGGATCAGCCTTTGAACAGCCCAGTCATGTGATGCTTGGCATGAGGCCTTACTTGGGCGTGTCAAGATTTGGCATGCCCTTGGTCTGATGGATCATGATGATCATGATGATGATGATGATGATGATGATGACAATGGTGATGATGATCATGATGATGATGAGATGTTGTTCATGATGATGATCATGATGTTGATGATATGACAATAGTGATGATGATCATGATGATGATGATGACAACACTGCAAGATTATCCTCTGATTCTTGCTCTCTGCGTTTGCGAGCCGCTGTCAATGCCATGTTTACGGAGGACTTCAGCAACTGTTTGTTCGTTTGTGGAACTTGTCACGGACTTTTACGTCTTGGTTGAGTGCGCAGGTGTCATTGATGCAGGATGGGGCCGGATACGGCGGTCAACTCTTTCATCTCTGGGGCTTGTTCAAGTTGGCTGTGCATTTCAGGTTGTGGCCCTTGAGGAACCTCACAACGTTCACAGGGACCCATGAGCCCGTGATTGACTACTGGCTCTCCTTGTCAGGGATGTTGAACACCATGTTCATCGGCCAGGTCGACCACTGCGGGGTGAACGTCGAGTTCGCGGACTTCTGAGGACGCACGCGAGATGCGAGGTGCGTCTCAACAAGCCGCCAAAGAGGCGCGGCGTGGCGAAGGTCGAGTCTGCGCGGAGCTCCGACTCTCGATCAGATCCTCTTGGACGGGTTGGCCGGGACCCGGCAAGCCACAAGGGCCTTTCCAGTGCGGCCAGGGGCAGGCAGGATGAAAAGTGAGGAAAAGGCTGGCGCCCAGGAATCTTCGCTTGGGGAAGATGTGATTCCGCCAATGCAGTTCGGGCGAAGGGTTTTTGCGGGTTACAAACCACATCGCCGGGGCTTCTGTTGGGGCTGCCATGTGCGGGCCCTCGGTTCATATGGGCTGACGAGCCATCTGTGCCGTTTTCTGGGAAGAGACAAGGAAAAGGGAATTTTGGGACCCACCTCCATCTCCTAAGGGGTGGTAGGGAGCATGGTCTCCCTCCCTTGATTGATGCTAATGTGTGCAGAGTGTTTAGAGGAGAGGGCTATCTTTCCAAATTTCTGGGGGTGCTGATTGGTTTCCAGAAGGCACGTTGAGGTTGGGTGTTGGGACATTGCTGGCTACCTAGATAGATCCGCCTTTGGAAGGGGGGAAGTAGGATTGGGTTCCAGAAGGCACGTTGAGGTTGGGTGTTGGGACATTGCTGGCTACCGAGATAGATCCGCCTTCGGAAGGGGGGAAGTAGCGACGCAAGGGCATGTCTGCGGCAAGCCGGGTTGTGTACACTGCACCCCACCCTGGTGCGTGGCCAGCTTCCTCGTGCATCCGGCCATTCCTTCTGCAGCGCATTTGTGGCCCTCGCAGCGTGCATCCCATGGCGAAGGTCTCCGAGTCCATGTCCCAGGTGCTGACTTTGCTGGGCGCGGCAGTGGGGCCTCTGGAGCTGAGCCGCCTGGGCCTGTGCAGCCGCGGCTTGGGGCGCCAGGTCTTCGAGCCCAGCTTTCCGCAGCGGCTCTGCCGGCACCTGCGTCTCCAAGACCCGGGCCTGGACCTGGAGATGCTCTCGATCTGCCTGGCGCTGAGGTCCCTCCGGACCCGAACCTTGGGACGCAAGGCGTGCGAGGAGGAGCGCGAGGCCCAGTAGTTGGAAGTGGGACCTCCAGATTTGCAGGCGGGGACGCGCTGCGGCGGAGAGTCCGCTCGGCAAATAGGCCAGCAGCACACTGCTCTGACCTGCCTTGTGTCAAGGCCACCAAGCTTGTAACTTTGTAACAAGCTTGTAACTGTAACCTTAGATGGACCCATACCAAGGGGAGCATAGCCAATGGTGACCTTGGCAATTTTTAAAGGCGGCAAAAAGCTGTCTTTTGTCGGCGTGGGTTGGGGGGGCGGCTTGCGGTCTGAGGCATGCACAACGCACACAGCCAGGCTGCCCCCTCAAAGCACGGAGCAAAGCTCGTGTTTTCCTCGACGCCTTTCAATTCAAGTTCCCTTGACCGACATATAGCATGCAGTTGGTGCAAGCTGGGGTTAATTAATGCATGCGGGCCCTTGAAGGCGGAACAACCCCCCATGCGGCCCCTGTGTTTTCTTTCTTCGGCCACCTAGGCGAGCCCCGCACGTTCCTAGCCGGGAGCGGCATGACCAACCACCACTGGGCAAAGTGACAAAACTGTCCGACCAGGCTGACTTTGTTTGGGTTGCCAGGGGGATTTAAAACCACAATTTGGCTTACACAGCCGGCCTAGCCCACTGGCTTTGATCAGCTTCCCGGAAAGTCTTCCATTGAGCGGTTTCATTGAGCGGTTTTTGGAAGCCAGCCAACTGTTCGCCGAACCTGGGGTTTCCTCTTGGCATGGTCGTTCTCCAGGACGAAGGCATTCTTCACATGGATGGCGCACTACCAAGCGTTCCGCCGCATTCCTCAGCGACACCGGCCCCATGTTTGTCCAATGCTCCTCTTTTTGCTTCCTTGGGCAGAATTCCATGGGCCTGGACGGGACGGTCGGCGCCCCACGCCTCCAATTGGTCGCCAGGGTTCCCTCACCCAGCCAGGAGGCAGGGCTGAAGGGCTGCAGGGCTGAAGGGCTGACTGGGCAATGTCCACCACCTCCAGCTTTGGGATGGGTACCTTCTTGAATTTCAAGGGGGGCCCCTGTTTGCAGACCCTTGCCCGCATTGGAGAGACGAGCCTCTCGAATTTTGGGCCGCCATTCAGTGTTTTCCTGCTAGCTTTGCAAGTCGATCAACAGGGAGCGCTGCTGTGGGCCTGAGGAGCGCAGGGAAAGTGCACCTGATTTCTAGTTTTGGCTGAGAGAACGGCGGCCTGCGACAAGTGGCAGCTCGTCATCTCCCCCCTAGCTGAACAGGTCCACTTTGAATCACTGGCCAGGTCAAGCGTTGGTCGGCCAATGGGAAAGCATCTGGCTTGGGGACCTCGCGCCATTCCACCAGCATATTTGGGGAAATCCAGTTGCATAGATGATGACGGCTCGCAGGTTGTTTCCTCCCCCAAGTGTCCTTGCAGCAAGAGCGATGCATGACCATCACATGGTGAACTCGGTCGCCTTAGCAGATGGGATTCCGAGGTGTGGAGCGAATATGCCACTTGTAAAAGGTGCAGTGCGTCTATTACCTCCACGCCAACACATTTTGGTCGGGTTCTTTTCTAGCTATACCTTTAAGTCAGCTGCGTGCTGATGTCGCTTAGCTGATTCGTTCTTTTCCTTCTGAAGGCTCACTGGGGGTTTTCCTTGTGCCATTTGCCAGGAGTGTCGGAGGCCCAGAGGCGCACCGACGTGTCCCGCATTGGGCTTGCAATAAGCGAAGCCTTTGCTGGTGTTCGGACGTTTGGAGGATGCCTAGAGGAAAACTAAAAAGCAAAAAGAACGGTACTTGAACTGGCCCTCTGTTTCAGGATGCACCTGTGCTCAACGCCAGGAGGCGGACATGCTGTAGCACCTGAAACGACGATGCAGGGCAAGGGGGACCAAACATGCCGCACCTTAGCCTACTGCAGACATCCACGTTGCAAAGTGAGATTGCTTGAAGCAACAGCTGGGAACATGTGACAACGACAAGCCATGGGTGAATGGTAGACGGGTCCCGGCTCTTACTTGCAGGATTTAAGGTCAACCACGCCGCATCCCCCTTTTCAAAAAGACAAGCTTCAATGTCCGTGTTCAAGATGTTCAAGATGTCAGTTTGTTTTTGCTTTGCCCCAAGCTCTGGCGTGGTCCGGAGCGGCTCTGCGCTAGGGTTCTGCAAGGGTCCTGGGAACTGCTGTTGAGGACGGCCATCTGGCCTCATGTTTTTCCAAGCCTGGTTCTTGTAGAGTGTGGATGGGAAGCCACTCATTAACCACCAAACGAGGGAAGCTGAATTACGCGACATGGCCATCTCTTGCCAGTTTTTGCAGTGCCTAGAGAGCCAAGGGTGGCGAGTTGCCTTTGGCTCCGCTTGCCAGGAAGGCGGCAGAGCCAGTGGCAGGCGGGTTCTTCTGTCTGCTGTTCTGCTGTTTTTCTTGATCTTTTGTTTTGCACCGGTGAGCCATCAACGTGGTGAGGTTGTAGGGGAATCGGATGAAACGGATCCAAAGGGAAACAGTGGTCTTGTTTTCCAGGGCGCTTGCGCCGCTTGGCTGCCGCAGAGGATTCAGGTTTTCAGATGGCTCGCTCGGCAGGTTGTGATGCGTGTCAGCACTTGCCTATTTGCCATTGGTTCAGCACATGTGCACGAGCCTGCCAACACTTGCTTCCAGGTGCCAAGGCACCACCAAACCTGCCGCACGTTTTTTCCGCGCGGGCGCGCGCCATCGGCGCCATGGGCGCTGGTGCGCTGTTTGGCTTCGTGGAGCTGGACGCTTTGCGGGCGGTCACCTTCCTGGGGCCCTGCCACGCCGCGCGCCTGGCCTCTAGCTGCTCAGCCCTGAGCTTGGCGCTGCCCTTCCCGTGCCTGCGCACGGGGGCGGCCGCGCTGGCAACCTCCAGCTCGTCCTCCCCGGCGTTGGGCGGGGCAGGGAAAATCCATTTGAAGCGTTTCCGCTTGCAGTCCGCCTAGCTTTGGTGGTGGGATCTGGTTTGCAAAAAAATGTTTCTGCCAAAATCCTCATGTCAGGTACCGCTGGCTTGCTGCAGGCCCAGGTGCTGCGGGAGGCTCTGCAGACCACGGCCCCAGAGCTGCTGGCAGGGGGTGAGGCTGGAGCTGAGGGCGGCCGGCCTGGAGCGCCAGGACGGTGGCTGGCCCTGCTGGCGCCAGGTGGCACCGATTCGCTTTTCTGTGCTGCAGCGCATGACGTGCGGCTGGCGGCAGCCGCGGCCGTGTGGGCGGCGGCCTTGCAGCGCCCGGGGCTGGCGGCCGCGCTTCGGCGGATGGTCGGCCCAGAGGAGGAGCTGCCGCCGCTGCTGCGGCGCATGCTGGCCATGAGGTCGCGCTCGGACCAGCAGCAGGACGAGGACGACTTCTTTGAGGCTATCTTTGACGGCAACATTGCCACTGTGGTGCTTCGCCTTGCTTGCGGAGCCGACGTGGAGGCTACCGGCCCACGGATGCATCAGGGCGACGTGGGCTGCTGCAAGTGGACACCCCTCGCAGCTGCTGCAGACATCTCCTCGCGGCGAAAGCAAGGGTTTGCCCTTACCAGCCTGCTGTTGTCGGCGCGCGCCCACGTGGACCGTGCCTGCCCTGGGCCCTGCGGCTGGACGCCGCTGATGCGGGCGGCCGCCGCCGGCAGCGGGGCGGCGGACACCTTGCGGCTGCTGGTGGCGGCGCGGGCGGACGTGCGCCTGCGCGCGGAGAACGGCAGCACGGCGCTGGAGATGGGCGACAAGGCCGCCGCGCGGGTGATCCGCGAGGCCCGGGATGCCCGCGCGCACAGCTCGGTAGAGGTGCCCAGCTCCAGCAAGAGGAAGGCCCAGAGCCCGAACCTCCTGGCCCTGGCCAATGCCGGGCGGGGAAAGGCCACTGGACGAGGGACGCGCAAGAGCTGAGAGAGAAACAAGGGGCGCAAAGTAGGCGGCGCCTGTTTTTGTTGGACTCGGGCGTTGAATTGAGTTTAGTGTTGAGTAGTATTTGAACAAGGCTGCATGGAAGGCAAAGTGGAAGAAGCGCAGGGGACCTTTGATGAATAAGTGTCCTCGCAGACATCATTTTTGGAAGCAACCCTGCAAACATTTTATGTGCCATGGTTAAAACCTCTCTTTCACTTGCTTGTACTTGGGGGAAGAACGAGTTCTCGTTCAAGAACCAATACTGTGGATGGACAAGCTCCTGCACCAAATGCTGCTTGATTACATTGAAGATGTCCAACACACTACATCGGCATTGGTCTTTTGGTTCGAAAGGGTGTCCAATAGCTTAGAATTTGTAGTACAAGCACCTATTGCCTACCAACTGCTGCTTTTGATTGATTGCCTCCATCCATGGAGTTTTGTTGACCCATGGCTCAGATTCGACCCCAACGGATGCTTTTCGTATTGCCAGAGAACCAGGTCTATGTCAACGGCCAGTGGGCTGAGCTGGAGGAGCCGGCGCAGGAGGCGCGAATGAAAGGGTGGAGCTCCCGACGGGATGGATTTCGTTTGGGGGGTATCCTCAATGAACAGCCGGAACCTGACAGGGGTTCGCTTCAGGCTTTCCAGGACCCCCCGAACGTCAGGTTCCACTTGAATTGGTGGGAGGGAAGGATCCAGATACAAGGTTCACTCTAGTGTGGGGAATTACTGATTTCCGATGATTTGACTTTTCGGAACATTTGTGCGGATTCGCTGTGAAGGCTTTGGTGGAGGACTCTTCCTTTGTGTGTGGCGGTTCCCCCCACCAGTTTTTATTTGCCAGATTTATCAAGCCGAGATTCATATTCCTGACCAACTTGTCCAAGCAAACCTGACTTCCCCATGCAAAACGGCCCGGTGCTGCGTCTCAGAACAAAAGCAAGTAGTTTCGAGAATTGGGAACACCCTTGGTGTGTGTGTGTGTGTGTGTGCGTGTTTGAAGAGGACCACCGGGAAACCACCGCTCAGTTGGTTTGCCCTAGTTTTGTAGCCCGCTCACAATCGGCCAGGCTTTGGGCCGTGCCGGGGTCCCAAGAGCGGCTGGCGGTCCCACGCCCACAAGCTTGAGCGAGCTTTGCCAGCGAAAGGGCCCAACCACAGGGTTTTGGAGATCGGACGCGCCTGACACCCTGCTCATATATTGGCTATAGGGGCGGCTACTGGGGGTCGGCAGTTGTGGTTGTCGGATTTCCACAAGCTTGCGGAGGGCCAGAGGTTCTCCAGAGCTTCAGCTTCCATGTGGCAGCGAGGTGTCTGGAATGGGCGCAGCCGAGGTGCGCCCTGGCGCGAACAAGGCTCGAGCCCGAGCAAGGAGGGTGGGACACTTCTTGGTTGTGTTTGGAAGGACCCAGTTCAAAGTGCACCGGCCCAGGACCTTTTCAGTTCCCAGTTTTGAGAAATTTAGGGTCATCGCCCTATAGGTTTGCGTTTCATCCCAAGTCCATTGGAGTGGAACACGTGCTTGACGGTCGTGACGCATGCATGGATGAAGGCATTTGTCCTGCTATCTAGCGACCTTTTGGCGTCGCCTCATATTGCCGCACAGGTCTCGTATACTGGCCGGGACGGAACCGCCTACTTGGCTGACCTCTCGCAGATGATGCAGCTGAATGAGCGCACTGGGCGAAAGAGGTGCTCTTGCGCGCGTGTTTTGGGGGGCTGAACGGACAAGACCACGAGTCACAAACAATGCACCCTATGTCCATGCACCCTATGTCCATTGAGCAAGGCCACTCTTGCAAGGCCCCATTCCGTGAGGAGAGGGTTGAGACCGTTGAGCCAGTCCTTGTCACAATTGACTGTGGGTGCCGCTCTGCCTGGCCGTTGGCCGCCGGCGCCAGGCCGATCCGCTGCGAGGCCAGATTTCCGCGTCAGGGGCCGTTGCCATCCCATGGCTTGATTTTCTGTCACGGCTCGGCCGCTCCAACAGCTTTTGCCGAGTCTGAATGGTGCCGCGTTGGCACGAGTCCCCTGGCCCAAATGGCCTTCGGCCTGAAGGGCTCTTGGGCCAGATTTGGCTGTCAGGTCCTTGATCCTTCCCTTTGGCTGTTCGAGGCCTCTGGCGGTAGTTTTGGACTCCGGGCTTGTGGATTGGGATCCAAACCGTCCGCTGGCCGCCTTGCGCAGGCTTCCCTGGATGGCACAGTGATGGGTCTAGGCCGGCTTCCGGAAGAGAAAGACCTCCCCCGGTGCCAGCATCGGTGAGTGACAAGCGTGGCCCTTTGCAAGGGGGTGAAACACGCTTACAACAAGGTCACGTGATCATTGTTGATTCTGTGTGGACGGACAGTCTGGTTGCAAAGAGTTTCCGCAGCCTGCCCCCTACATTGGCATTGGGGGCCATACAGGGCTGGATTTCTTTGAAAGCCATTGGAGAAAAGGTCCGGCGACATTTCCAAAGGTCGACTCCTCCTACTCCAAGAACGTCGAGATAACTCCTTCAAAAAGGTTATGTCAGTTTTTCAGGGGTTGGGTGGAGACTGTGCCCTCCTGACTTTACATTGCATGGGCAAAGTAAGTTGCGCGCAGCGAGTGCGGAGTGTTGGCTGGCGCTGAAAGGCATTCGCACGGATACCAGGATTTGCTTCTCTGCCGGTTTCGCGCTTTCGTGAGGCCATGAAAGTTTGTTCAGCCCCCAAACCTGTCCTTGCAGCACTTTGCTTAGGCTGGGAGGTTCCTTCCATGTTCTCACATGTTCTCACATAATTTGGCGGTGGCGCTGCAGCAAACGTATTTGGCAAGCAGCTCCCATAGGCTGGAGTTTGCCCAGGCAAGCACATACCCTCCAGGGTTCAGGCTGGCGCCCAGAGTTGACCGAGAGCTGCTGGGAGGGGAGGTGGCGGGTTTGGAGCCCTTGGGAGCACTGTCTGGGAGGGGGGTGGGGGGTGGGGGTGGTCTCTTTTGATGTCTTTTTTGCACCAAATCTTCTTTGGAGTCTAAGGGCAGGTTTCGCAAGTGAGAAGGCCTGAGATGGTAACATGGTTCGTTGGGGTCAAGCTGCGGATGACTTGAGGCAAGTGTCTCACTCCAAGGGGGAGCTAGTGGCTATTTGCGCCGCTTTTTTTTCTTCTCCGCCTTTTTTTGCAAGCTTACTATCAGGTCCACCTGCATAGTGGCAACTCCCTTCCGGCTTTACAGCAGCAAACGACATCCCAGCAGGGAAGGCAGGAGGCGTCCAAAAGACCCTGGCCTCCCAGGCATTCCCAGTTAGAAGCAGACGACCTCCAGTTGGATTGATGGCATGTGTTTGCGGATCAGGAGGAAAGCACTCACTTAAGGCACTCAGGGCAGTTGCCCGGCCTGGCACTCAACAGGTGCCCCTGCCCAGGTCTTTCAGGAAGGCGGTTGGAAGACGATGCCGGAGCCTCATTTCGCGGATGTGGAAGCCACCGATCACCCAAGCTGTGCCACAACTAGAGGATGGTGGTTTGGGATGGCATCACTTCTTGTCAGCCAAGCTGCCATTTGTGGAAAGCGAGCTGGTTTTGGAGGACCCCGTTTTGGGTTCCACGTTCAGCCTCGAGCCAGTGATTGGGCGTATCTCGTCAGCCTCACTGGCCGCTTCGGTCTTTTCGACTGGGCGGGGGTTGGGCCAGATGGATTCCACCCAATCGTCCAGACACCCAAGAGGGCAGATCGATGACTGTGAGCCGGCTGAGGTCTATTAAGAACGGCCCGCGGCCAAGCTTCGGCTCGTATGGGGCGAAGTGGTTGGCGTTCTCGGCTTTGTGCCATCCTTTTTTGATTGGTCTCTGATCCAAGGAACTCAAGCAATCAGCTGGTCATTAGGTTTGAGTGGTAGAAAGATAAAAGCTTGGATAAGGTGTCCTGTTCAAAGCTCCTGGAAGCTTCGGAAGCTTCAAAATCATTTCTAACTTTCATGCTTCCTGCGAACGTTTTGGCTCAACGCAAGGGGAATCATATTCTTGGTGTTCGCGCCACATTTCGATTTGAGGGTCTCGTAAGCGATTTGTGCGGTCTCCCAACTCTTGCGACGCTACAGATTGCCTCTTAATTTGTTGACCTTCACGCCCCTGTAGGTCCACAGCCACGTCCAGTTGAAAACAAAAGAGAAAAACAAGGAAACAACAAAAAATCGAAACATGAAGAAAAAGGCAAGTGCGGATGGCTTCGACACCTTTTGGAGACGGATCCAAACCTCGGCCAGCCACGTTGAGCGGCCCCTCCTACAGGCCGTGCCATGGCCTTGGGAGCGTCGGGCGCGTGCGGCGCGTGCGGCGGCGAGTTCTTCTGGCGCCTGCCCAGCGGCGCCTTCTGCCTGGAGGCCTTGGAGCAGGCGGTGGGCCTGGCCGTTCCAGGCACGGTGCGGGGGGGTCTGAGGGGTGGTTTTGGGGGGTTGGGGGGGGGGGGGACCTAGAACCTCCAGTTTGAGTCAAATGAGGGGCTGCGAGGTGAGTGCTGATTTAGGTGGTGGTGGTGGTGGTGGTGGTGGTGGTGGTGGGGTGGGGGTGGGCATGTAGGGCACTCTGCCAGTTCAAGTGTGGCACTCGTGTGGCATGTGGTGAGTAGTGGCAGCACTTGGTTGTAATTCGTTGTCATCTTGTGTCCAAGGGATCCCCCATCCAAGCCATGCGCGAGAGGCGACCCTCCCATCCTCAAGGTGGCTGGCTGGGTCGCCGGGCGTGAGCTGGAGCCCGCAGAGAATGCTGCGCCGTGCTGCGTGCGCCTCGAAAGCGAGGATGGAGTGGTGGAGGTTGGTGGCCCGGAGGACTGGCGCTGGGGGTCCTAGGTCCACAATCTGTTGGTTTGCTTGCCGCACAGAAAGCCCATCATGTTTGTGGATGGATTGCCATTTTCTCTGACACTTTTGGGGGCTTCCCTTTAAAGTGGCAGACTAGTCATACTGTGGATGGACGAAATCCTGCATCACCTAAGAAACCCTGGAATGATGATTTCCCTGTAAATACCAACGGACACCGGTTTCCCATGGTTTCAAAGTGGTGCAGGATTTCGTCCATCCACAGCATGTATCCCAGAACGGTCCGTTTCAAGAACCATGTTGGACACTTCTCATCTGCTTGGCGGTGGCGTATGCGCCCCAGCTTTCGACCTCCCACTCTTGCCGGGGCCCATGGCCATGGGAACCGCCGCCATTTTTCCACGAATCATGGTTGTTGTTGGGAAAGAAGTTTGCATTTTTTGCTTATTGTGGTTTAGTGGGAAATTCCCTCTTAACTGCCAAAATTCAAATTGTTGCTCCCCTTCCAACGTCAACCAAGGAATTCCCATGGGCCATGGGAGACAGCGATGGGCGGAAGAAAAGACGCCCGGAGGACCGCGCGGCCGTCTTCGCCGGCTGTGCAAACAGCGCCTGGAGCGGCTTGGTGTCCTTGGAGCCCGGCACGCGGCTGCGGCTGAAGGCCGGGGCTTGGTTGGGGGCTTGCGGGGGCGGGGGTCCGCGCGCACCTCAAGTGGAAAAAGCGGGCAGAGGCGGTTTGCGCGCGACTTTTCGGGGACATTTGACTGTATTGGGGAGAATGCTTCGGAGCTGTTGTTCTGGCCCAAGCGAGGCGAAAAGTATTCGCTCAGGGCCCTGTCAAGATGTTCCTTTGCTTGGCATGTAGCCCGTCAGTTGCATGGACAGTGGACGGCGGTGGTGCAGGGGTATGATGTCGTGAACTGTTTTTAGAAAATGCTGACGATAAAGAGCTTCAAAGTGCGGTGCCGGGGGCGTATTCAGGGGACTCCCGCCCCACGCCCCGCGCTGGACTGGTTTGCCATTTGCCGAGATAGTCACCGCGGGGTTTAGCTTCCAGTTTTCGAGCTTCGTGGTTTGCAAGCTGCGGCCCAGACACTACCTGTGAAGAGGACTTGTAAAACAACAGGCCCCAAAAAATACAACAACTAGAAGAAAAACAAGAAACACAAGAAACGGTAAAAAACAACCAACGTAAAATTGTGTTTATACATTGGGTTTTCCCTTAACAACTGTAAACATGGGTACCCTCAACCCAGTTGCCCAGCGGTGCCCTTTTCCCCCCTTTTTTGGGAAGGGTTTCCTTTTGAAGACACACCTGTATGCAGTGTGGTGAGGATTGACGTCGCGCCAGGGCCCCAGCAGCTTCCGTCTGTGCTGCGGCCGCGTGCGGCACGCGCTGCCCGGAGCGGTGCTTGGGCCCTTCCAAGGGGAGGAGTGGTTCGAGGCGTAGCGGGAGGACGGAGGAGATTTCTGCTCCCCCTTCCCCCCCCCCCCCCTCAAAAACAACGAGAAACAAAGACATATCAGGCCTCATAAGAGGGCCATTTTCCTTTTGAAGGGCCTTTGCTGGTGGGTTCCATGTTTTAGGGTCTAGAGGGTACCCCGAACGAGGTTTCATCTAAAGAGGGTTCACTGGGGTCAGGTACCCACTTGCGTAAGCATCTAAGAGCTGCAAGCCAGGGCACCTTTTCCGGAAACTCTCGTCAGGGAAGGCTGCGGGCGTCAGGATTTCCATGAAGCACCACAGTGATGACCCGGACAAGGGGCCTTGATCTGGAGGGTGCGCCTCCTCGTCAATAGGTCCGCCCTGACATCCTTGGAACTGATTCAGCGTGGAAGTCTGCCTCCTGAACACTCCCCCACCCCCCCCCCCACCCCCTCCCCACCCCTTCGCTCTTGCATGCAGTGGCGCCGTTCTGTGTTTGGGGGGTGTTGCACTGCAACTGTTGCGACGCCTAGATCTTTTTTTTGGGACCCGACATTACTTTGTCCGTTTTTTTTTTTTTTTTCTTTGGGCCTTCTAAAACAAGTGTATATATTTTTTTCATTTCAGAGCATATGCCAAAGCTTGACGGCTCTCCCCCGGTTCCCCTTTCCTGGCACCTGGCTGGCTGTCCTGCGTCCCGCAGGTGAACTGCCGGAAGGCTTCTCAGGAGGCGGTGATTGAGATGAGCGAGCCCAGGAAAGAGCGGGCATCAGCGATCGGCCCGGGCTCGGCCCAAGGACCCGTGAAGGCGCGTTCCGACTTGAAAGCAAGCTGCAAAGAGCAGCCTCAAGAGAACACGTACTCAAATGAACAAGTCGGTTTTGGGGTTCAGCCAAAGGGCAATGGCAGTGAGGAGGGCGGCGGTGCCTGGCGGCCAGTGCCCTGGGCACGTTTGCGCCCTGCGGGATGGGCCAAGGTGGCTGCCACTTCGTCCGGTTGGGCGGATGCGCGGGGGAGGCGCCCGGCGATGGAGGGGTTTCTGTGGGCGCTTTGGCAGATCAGCCAGTGGAGTCAAATGGTGGGTAGCTAGGTTATCTACATGCGTGTGTGCATTTTTCGCACAGTTCGCAGGCTTCTTCGGGCGTTGAGTGTGCCTTTGCGGCTGCTGCGCATGCTGTCGCGGTGCTGTTGAGAGAGGGGTTTGTTGCAAACTGCTGAGGGGAGGTGCTGCCAGAGTCTTTTGCAAAATGTTGCTTCAGGGTGGGGTTGCGGGGTTTTGCCAGACATGACGACCGTGAGTTGCGCAGAGTGCTGATGCAGAGTCGCAATGTCATTGCAAAGAACGGCGTCGCGGTGTGCTGTCGCAGGGTGCGATCTTCAGGGCTAGCCGGGCACCTTTTCTCACAGAGTTCCATGTGTTGAGGGCTCACCATCCCTTCCACTGGCTCTTTCGAGCCATGCCATGGGGAGGGGGGAATTTGGACTCGGGACAGGAAGCAACCCGAATTGAACAATGACCATCTTGGCACTGGAGTACCTCACCCTCTTTTCTGCCCTTTGGTTTGTGCTTTGTACAATTATCAGCCCGGTCCACAGCCGTAAAGGGCTTTGGCTTTTGCCAGCCTTCGGGTCGCAGGTTGCAGCTGGTTGCGCTTGTTGTCAGGCCCGCAGCAGTGCCGGTGTGGCGCCAGAAGCGCTGCGAGCCACGCAAGCCCAGGCGCGGGCGTCGGGGAGCCTGGGGCGCGACAACTGCGCGGGACAGGGGTGGGGGAGTTTTTGTTTTTTTAATGAAGAGGTGATTTGGTGATCACCCTTTGGGCGTTAGGCCTTTCCAATGTAAGGAGTGCAGGATGTTGTATGGCAATTGAGGTGGTTGGGCTTTACGGTCACGGCTCCTTTCTCTTGTGGGGCTTGTCCCCCTGACCAATGAATTAGAGGTTTTGAGAGTCAGGGGTCATCGTTCAGCAAGGCCCTTATCAGCCACGCCCAAAGGAAAACAGATAGGGGGCGAGACATGGTGAAATCCAGGGCAGGCCCCCGGGCTTCCTTTCAAAACGACAGCAATCCTCGGTCCTCCTGGGGTTTTTCGCATCGCTGATCTGGGACGAGCGAGACCTGCTCAAGGATGCTGGAGAGAGAGAGGGAGGGAGAGAGAGAAGAAGAGACAGAGAGAGAGAGAGAGAGAGAGAGAGAGAGACACAGAGAGAGAGAGAGAGAGAAGGAAGGAGAGAGAGAGAGAGAGAGACAAGGAGATAAGGAGAGAAGGAGAGAGAGAGAGAGAGAGAGAGAGAGAAAACGAGTCAGAGTTCTCCCAAAAGCGTATCGCAAAATCGGATCGGCCGCCTTCCATTTTGAACTGCAAGGCGTTGTTCCCTTTTTTTGAACGTTGATAGGATTTGAAAACAGCACGCGCAAACTCATGTAAACACACACACATATATATATATATAGATATACATATGCCCGCATGAGCGCAACCCTTGGGCCAGGTTGGCGCTGATGGTGGTCATGGCGGCTGTGCCCCCGG